CCCCCCCCCCCCCCCCAGTGGAGCGAAATGTCAAATTTTCAAATTTCGAGACAAAAAAAAAAAAAAAAAAAAAAAAGTGTCCTCTAACCCCTTTTACCCCCTTGTCCTTTTACATCAAATCTTTATAACTTCCAAAATTGAAAATTCAAACTAAAATCAAATCGAGTCGTGATGTGAGTGCGTGGGTGGGTGAATCAGAGAGAGAGGCCTGAGAGGGGGGGGGGGGAGGGGTTAGAAAGGCATGGATGTTTGTATATCAGGGAAGGTAAGAGTGCACAGGCGCGGATCGAGAGGGGCGAGCGGGCCTTGCCCCCCCCCCTCCCGCAATAAAAGAGAGAGAGAGAGAGAGAGGGACAGAAGGAAAAGAAGGGAAAGGGAAAGAGGAGAGAAAGGGAAAGAAAGAAGAGCGAGAAGAAAAGAAAATGGGGGAAAGGGACATCGGGGAGGGAGGGGGGCGAAAGGCCCTTGCCTTCGAGGCTGTTGCCTCCCCCCCCCCCCCCTTCAAAAAAATAAGAGAAAAAGAAGGAAAGGGAAAGAAAATAGGAAAAGAGGAGATAAAGGGTAGGAAATAGGAGGAAGAAAAGAACAGAAGGGGATATCAGTTGCCATTTTCCCGCCAACATGTTGTGGATGGGGGGGGGGGGCAAAAGGCCCTTGCTCCCCCCCCCCCCCCCCCCCCAGAGAAGGAAGGAAAGGGAAAGAGGAGAGCTAAAAGGGAACAAAAAAGAGGAAGAAGAAAAGAGAAGGGTGAAAAGAAGGGGAGATCAGTTGCGATTAATCCCGTCAACAAAGTGTGGATCAGGGGGGGTGGGCGAAAGCCCCCCCCCCCCCCCCCCAGCAATCCTAAAAGAGAGAGAAGGAAGGGAAGGGAATGGAAAGGGGAGAGAAAGGGAAAGAAAAACGAAAAAAAAAAAATTAAAAACGAATGGAGAGATCAGTTGCGATTTTCCCACCAACACGTTGAAGATCTGGAGGGGGGGGGGGGGGGAAGCGAAACGGCGGGGCTCGGGGGCCTTGAGCCCCCCTTACCTTTTAAAAAAAAGAATATTTAAGAAAAATGGAAAGAAAGAGAGAAAGAAAAAGAGAATAGTGACCTGTCATTGTCACAAAAATAATGACGTAGGAAAATGACCGTGATTAAATGCCTAAAACCCCTGAGCTTCATTTGGCTCCGCCCCCAGGACCCCACAGCAATCAGTGTCCTGCCAGTGTCACAAATAAGGTATATATCAAAAAATGTTCATCTGACTGTAATTAAATGCCTTAAACCCCTGAACTTCCAGTGGCTCTGCCCCCTGGACCCCACCTAGGGCCCTATGGCGGACACCTGGATTCTAATCTGATGGTTATTTAATGCCCAAAACCCCTGAGCTTTTTGAACCTCATGCCAATTAGTGTCCTGCCAGTGTCACAAATAAGCTATCAAAAAAATGTTTATCTGACCGTAATTAAATGTCTAAACCCCTGAGCTTCCGGGGGCTCTGCCCCCTTAACCCCAGGCCAAGTAGTGTCCTACCAGTGTCACAAATAAGGTATCAACAAATATTCATCTGACTGTAATTAAATGTCTAAAACCCCTGAACTTCCGGTGGCTCTGCCCCCTGGACCCCACCTAGGACCCTAAGGCGGACCCCTGGATACTTATCTGACCCTAATTTAATGCCTAAAACCCTTGAGCTTCTGGGGGCTCGGCCCCGTGGAATTCATGCCAATTAGTGTCCTTCCGGTGTCACAAATAAGGTATCAAAAATTGTTCATCTGACTGTAACTAAATGTCTAAAACCCCTGAACTTCCGGTGGTTCTGCCCCCTGGACACCACCTAGGACCCTCAAGCGGACCCCTAGATGCTTATCTGACTCTAATTTAATGCCTAAAACCCCCTGAGCTTCTCGCCCCCCCCCCCCCCATCCAAATTAGTGTCCTGCCAGCTCTGTCACAAACAAGGTATCAAAATATGCTCATCTGACGGTAATTAAACGCCTCAAACCCCTGAGCTTCCGGGGCACTGCCCCCTTGAACCGTGGCCCTAAAGCTGGCCCCTAGACGTTCATCTGACCGTTATTTATTCACAATACACTATGACTCGGGTAAATATAATTGATTCTATTGCAGCATCCCGCATGTATTTATTGATAGTATTAATTTCATCTTGATCACAAAAAAAAAAAGGAATTAATACAAAAAAAACGTGGATAACCACCTTTACACTTGGAATGCATGGCGAGTACAGCTGTATAGAACATTTTTGATCGTTATGAGGAACATCATATTTTACAAATTTGTTTGCAATAGTGCAAATGATATCAACAAAATACAGTATATGCTCGTTGTTGTCGTTGTGTAAAACATGTAGTACCACATAAATAAATGTCCATCAGACTAACTCGTTAGGCCCAGGGACAGTTCCCTGTGAGTGTGAATAGCAAATACAGAGATGGGGGATTGTGAGGCAAAAGAGTGACCATACATAGAGGCAAAGAAGCAATTATAGTGTTAAGCCTATGGTAATTGAAGAATTTAGTAGCCAATGGGTCACGTGGAGGAACAGAAGAGCTGGACAGAGCAGGTATTGACAGAGATATGTTCGTCCCCCTTATAGGCTCAATCAGATATGATGCAGCAAAACCGTGATGGAGTTTTTATGACGTTACGTGTTATACCCTTCACTTTTCTGTAGCTTATAACACATAGCTCACTTAATACGTCCAGTCCTTTGTTGTGCTCAGTTGCCATTCATTTACACATTAAAAAAATATATATATCTGTACGAGCCTTAAATGTTCATTATACATGCACAATGTATCACATAAAGAATAATTCTAGTCACCAAGACCCTCTTTTCTCTATTTCCTGCTTAATATAAACCCATACAAACAATAAATATATATTTTTCAGTTAATAAACCACAGGTCAAGCTACCATAAGATTAATCATGTTTTTCTCCATGTAAATGGTATACGAAACGAAAACACCCTTACTCATTACAAAAAGGTAATAAATACAAATGTGAACTTCTATAATGCTGAATATCCTTTCAGGCTATTTTTTTGAACTAGATTTCTATAAAACGTTTTCAATAGTACTATTAAAGTAAGCCATATGATACTGTATGTATATTTCATTTTACATCATTTATCAGAAAAGTGCTTTTTGTCTATAAAGCTATTTCCCAAAGACTTTATACTGGAACATGTGGCATAAACAGTTTGATAATTATTTAAATTATCACATATGTATCGCTATCCTCTCATTTTCAATTTGCTACATGGTTCCCTGTAAAATACAAAGTAAAACGATAATACAGGATACTTTAAATACTTTGCAAGTAATTTCAAATTATCTAAATGTTATTATTATACTAAGCCTGATGTGAATCTTTAAACAAAATTGATTGAATTTCTTCAAAGAAAATACAACCTGAATAGGAAACTAGGATGATAGTAAGCAAATAACTACCGTTGGTGAAGGTGATGGGACAAACTATCACTTCCTAGGCGATCTGGATGTAGCTATCTTTCCGAAGCGAAGCTGAGGAAAGATAGCGTATACATTCTGATCGACGAGGAAGTGTTAGTTTGCCATCACCTGAAACCGAAAGGTGATTATTTGCTTTATATTCTATATCTAACGCAATTTAATTACAAAAAGAAAAGGACGTGTATGCATCTATGAAAGACACCAGGCCCAAATTCACACAAAAAAAGTTAAAAGTTTAACCCAACCCCTTGAGGGTACGGGGCGCGCATGTGTTTGCTTTAATTGCGCTCATTGGAAATGCGCGCTTAATTACGCCTGTTTTAGTGCGCTTTTGGATAATCTTCAGTGAAAGTGCGTCGCCCTGTGTAGATAGTACCTCTATCTTTAGTGAAAGTTTGTTGCACTGTACTACTATCTACACAGCGTAACAAACTTTTTGCTTCTCCCATAAATAATGGGCGAACTATCTTTCATCACGTGATTTTCTTTTGACCAATCGTAGAGCAAGATTCTTAGTATGTGGAATATAATGAGCATTAATCATGAATGATATTACACAATGCACAAATAAATAAATATATTGCAACATAGATACAATCATTAACAGGAGCTTGGTTAAAACGCTAGTCTGTGTGTAGCAAATGGGACAATCATTCATCTAAATGTTTTGCATGTACCTACAAGTTATTCAGTGAGAGCCTCGGTAGATTTAAACATTAGTTCTTTCTTCACAATCAGGGGAAAATCACCTGCTTTAGTAAGCTTTCACTTCTTCAGATCTCTGTTGCTGATGCAGTATAAGGATATGGGAGAATGGCAGTACATGTATTTAGAGAAAATTTACAAGAACAATTTCGGCATGTATATTAAAATCAGTTAATAGCCATCATGCATAGATATATGGAATTATGTAAAACACAACACGAGTCTTGGCATTATCATTGGCAAATAGACTGGTTTACTTTAAGGTAATACAAAGTTTTGGGAAATTTTGAAAATTGGGTGGATAGTGATTTTTTTTCAATTTTGATATATTTGGATGCCCCTGTGGATGTATTAAAAATGCTACAAAATTTAGCCCCTTAAACATTTCTGCTTTCGAGAAAAATTGAATTTAAAATTTACCGGTACTCCCCGTAAATTTTGTTAAATTTCAAATAGCGCCTACGGCCGTACAATGGTAGCTGCGACCATGAAAATCTCAGAATATGTAGTTGTGATATATAATTTCCAAACGGGAATAGCGAATCGGTCGATTTTAGTAAAGAAATATTGTTTAATAGCTTAATTAATATCTTGACCTTGAGAGGGAGCAATACAACATGAAGAGTTTATTATTTACAATTTCATAAGTTTTAATATGTTCATTTGAACCGAATTCATGACCCCATACCAAAACTTTGTATTACCTTTAAAGCTTATCTGCCATAGTTTACAGGAGGGATTAGAGCGCCCTGCAAGGTCACTGGACAGGTGGTTATCTCATCAACTCAGCTCTCAGTTAACATAAGAAAAAGAGGATCATGGGGGACCAATGGTCACCGATTAGGCATTGTTTGTTATATAGAGGGCGCAAGTAGCTACAAGTAGTGCAGTGGGCCTTTAAATATTCAAATTGATGGGTGTTTCATTCCCGGGGACCTAGAGACGAGTTATTCAATTAAATTGTTATTGATGAAGAACTACCCTGTACACTACTTGGAATCTAGTCTGCATTCATCACTTGTTGCTATATTGGGTAAACCCCAGGCAAGCTTCATGTAGTCAAGAACAACCTTTGTTTCGAAAGTATGCATACAATTTGAATATGTGAGTAAACGGGTCTATTGCACATATCCTACTTCATTTTTAACCTTCACTACATGCTTTGTTAACAGCAAATGTTGAAGTTTGCCTAAACAAGTGCACTTGGACATTCAATCCTCAATACTTCCTGTACATGCATGTAGATCTTGCTTCATTCATTACCTCTGCATGATTTCATGTCAGTCTTGCATGAAAAATTGTTGTCACTGGATGTGTCATAGAAGCAAGCTGAAAAAGTGTTCCTAAACGTGCTGCAAGAAATATTATTATTAAGACGTTTCCACATGATTCACCCCAGAAAATCCAGCAGGTTATCACCTCCTACTGTCTTCTGTTTCTGCTGGCTTGATGCAGCTGTGCTGGAAAATGGATCGAAGCCTGTACCCATTCCTACTCCTGTATGCTGTGCCCCTGGAGTCTGTTGCTGCTTCTGCATGGCCGACGCCTGCCACGACATTTGACCTAAGCCCTGACTTCCTCCACTATAATTACCCATCATGCCTGCCTGTCCGAATGCACCCTGTCCTTGACCAATATTTCCAAATGACCCCTGACCCATGCCGCCCTGCGACCCTTGACCCGCACCTCCAAATGACCCCTGACCCATGCTGCCCTGCGACCCTTGACCCGCACCTCCATATGCGGCCTGGCCCATGCTACCTGGTGGTCTTTGGACAAACACTTGCGATGAGCTTTGTCCTGTGTGAGGGTTAGTGGCAGGTGCTGTGTTAGCTGAAGACATTTGACTGAGTGTTCTGTGAGATTTCTGGGACTGAGACGGAGCTAGGAGAGAATCAAAGGTGGACATGTCGAGGTTCTTTTTCGCTTGCGTTTTGTTCATTTGAGGAGGCATCTGCGACATGTTATTGACCGGCTGAGAGAGCAAGGAAGCATTCAAAACACCCATTCCTCCTGCTCCGAGGATACTCCCTGAAGACGTTGCACTTGGTGGTGGATGATACGGTGAACCATTCATGCTGCCGATTCCACTGGACATTAGACCACCACCACCACCACCACCTGTCCTCGTACAAACACTGTCCATTCCTGCAATCCTGCCCTTGATGCCACTTCCAGACTCCATGGCGAGTGATCCTGACAGGTCTTTGACAGCAGACCTTGAGGGCTGCTTGTTTGTCTCTACAGGCTGGATCACCTTCTGGGTCTTCAACCGCTGCTGAAACTCCTGCTCCTTCTGAAGACGTTGTTTCTCCTCCAGGCTCAGGGACACCTGTGAGGGGCGCACTGGGGCGGGCTCTGGTGCCTTGGTGGAGGATCCTGTGCTACTTGCTTGGCCCTTGGAGCTGGAAGAGGACTGCTTCTGACCAGACAAATTCTTCCCATTTTGACTGGTATGGCCGTCCAATCCAAACGTCTCAAACATCTGGTCCACCTGGGAAGTTAATGTGAGTAGAAATATTTTTAAACAATACAAATGCAAATGTGTCTCCTATATGCCTCCGCCCTAAATTCAGTAGGAAACGAATGACATTATTCACCATTATGTGCACCATCTCCCCTCCCTGGGGAGTATTCCTACCATATGGTCACCTAGTAAGGGCATAGACAATTACTAACACAAATGCTTTCGTCATCCTACCGGGTCCCCATTTCTCTATTGGGTATTGAGTGGCAAATGTATATTAATGCCTTGCCAAAGGAAATTAGTACCATGTCAGGGATCGAACCCATGACTTTTGAATTTCAAGTCAAGAATTTGACACTTCTACTTTGAGATATCGTGTTAAAAAGAAAGCGGGACGGACGGCTGAAGGACGAACAGAAGGACGGACAACCCAAAAGAAAAAACCTTTGGGACCACCTTTGAATCTTCGATGGATTGAGGCATAATTTTCTTTCTTCAGTTTTCAAGCGAAAGTCTATACTTTCACTAATGAAAAGTGAAAATCCTATACAATGTTTATTGTAACAAAATGGATTGAACATTTATTATTTTAAAAAAATTATTTAAAAAAAAAATCTAGTCCATTTTCTCATGTACATATACAGAAGGTAGAGTTAACAACACATCTTTTAGTTTAGATGGTACACAAGAAAGTAAAATTTTCAATTGAAAATATTCATGTAGCACCATATCTATCATGAAATTAAAAAAAAAACTGCTTATCATATCTCTTTTTCTTTCTCTCTTTCTCTCTCTCTCTCTATCTCTCTCTTTTAACTCACCCCAGTCCCTCCAGTATTGTTGCTCTCCCCTCTTGATGACAATGGAACATCCTCATTCCCACCACTGGCTTGCAGCTTCTGGGCAAACTCAACAGATGTCCTGGGGGTCAGGATTACAATGACAGAAAACTCATGTGATGGTTTGACAGAAAAGTCAAGTGATGCCCCAATAGGGGTTGAGCAAGATAGTACCCTAGTCGTTTTTCACATGCGAAAAATATATTTTTGTTGCCATTTTAATTTTACAGTATTACCCAGAAAACTAGACTAAATTTCTTGTTATGTAAAATAGACAAAAAATATGTTTAGGCTAAGGACTTGGAACAAAAGATAGATGACAAATATATTGAGGGTTGATAATAGTAAAGAAATCAATTATTGTTTCTGACTCAAATTTCGTCTGATTTTGGACCAAAATCAATGCCAATGTTCATTTTGGGAAAAAAAAATGACCAAAATGACCATATTGTTCAATTTGACCACTATTTCTGGCACCCAGACACTTTCATTTTGTAACATATAATAGGCCCATTGCTAATAATAACGATTAGAAAGACTGCCCCTGACCAAACGTTCGTGAGTAGGGTCAATAAGATTTATATTTTTGGAATAAGCGCAAACTTTTACGTCAGAGAAGCTCTTGAAACCTTCTCCACCTAAAATTCTGATTTAATCCCCTCCTTATCCTAATATTTTTGTTTACTTTTCCCCATAATGCATCACATAAAAACGACCTAACACAAGCTCCATAGATAGTAAGAGTGGGGAAAATGTGACATGACAAAGAAAAGTAGAAAATATGTTGAACATTGGAAGCACGGTTGAGTAATATAGAAACTAAAATAGGGATGAGTAGACAACGAAGATGCAAGAAAGAAGACAAATACATCAGCAAAGAGATAGAGAGGGAATGGAAAGATGTGAGATAGAGAGTAACTTCATAAAAAGATATTAGAAAGAAAATAAACAGTTACTTGAATAGAGAGAGAGAGAGAGAAATGGAGAGTGAGACAGAGAGAGAGAGAGAGAGAGAAAGGGAGAGACATAGAAAGCAAGAGAGAAAGAAAGGGAGAGACATAGAGAGCGAGAGATGGAGTGAGAGAGAGGGAGGGAGAGAGTGAGAGAGATAAAGAGAGAGAGGGGGGTACATAGAGAGCGTGCCAGAGAGGGTAAGTGAGAGAGAGAGAGAGACAGAGTGACGTACAGGCCACAAAGAAAAAAAACATACTTTTGTTCTTCTTGCAAAGCATTAAGTTGTTCCAGCTTGACTCTCTGTTCCTTCTCTACCAGTTTGATGAGACCACTTATCACTGACATGTACGCATTGAACTGTAACAGAAAGATATATATAAGAAATGGTAACAATCTACTCATCGCACCAACTTGTGTGGAAATGTTACTTGACAAAAAAAACACAAAACCATGAATATTCACATACCTCAATGATATTATTTAAACGTATATAAGATTGATTGATCGATCTGTATTGAAAAACAAGTCAGAAAAAAAAAATAATAATTTACTGGGTGGAAGCCACAAATATGTTTAAATAATTGAAATTTCTCCAAAGGAAGCATAACATATATAAAAAGATATCTCAATGATATTGTCATTGCTCAGTCACCTCAGAGATTTGGGGTAATGTGTGAGTGTTGTATTTATGTGGTGCGTACCTTACAGGTATGTACCAGTGTAGCTTCATGACCCTTTTCTATACAATTACACTTTAAGATTCTTTTCCTCTTTCCTTTTCAATTCATTCTACCGCCCTTTTAGTATTTTTTTCTGTTTCTTCTTGTAAATGATTCATTCACCCGGCCTATCCACAACATAAACCATTTTTTTCATTTTTCATTTTTTGTACATTGTTTTAGTTAATTGGTAACGGACAAAGGAATTATACCATGTACATAAAAAGGGTAACAATTCTGTGGAAAATTATGACGACAATAATAACAATAATAATGATAATAATAATTATAATAATAATAATAATAATAATAATAATAATACCAGTTTCTTAAAAAGCGATTTTCCATTAGCTGACCAAAGCGCTTACAGTATTATTATTATCCCGGGGATTTGGATTCAATTAATATAGTGCGCATTCTCCACTCCCTGGGCAGCATTCTTGCTAGTCACCTATACACTAATGCACACATGCTAATCCAACCGTGTTTGCATCCTACTGGATACTCATGTAACACCTGGCTGGAGAGGAGCAATGCAGATAATGCCTTCGTCACATACATAAATGTCATGCCGGGGATTGAATCCATGACCTTTGCATTACCAGTCACATGATTAAACCACTTGAACTTTAACCTTTCCTAGGTCTTACCTGATGAAGATTGAGGTTATTATCGATGGAGAGAGGGAAGAGAAAAGGAAGAACCTTTCGAAGGTCTTACCTGATGGAGGTTGAGGTTATTATCAATGGAGAGAGGGAAGAGGAAAGGAAGAACCTTCCTAGGTCTTACCTGATGGAGGTTGAGGTTATTATCAATGGAGAGAGGGAAGAGGAAAGGAAGAACCTTCCCAAGGTCTTACCTGATGGAGGTTGAGGTTATTATCAATGGAGAGAGGGAAGAGGAAAGGAAGAACCTTCCCAAGGTCTTACCTGATGGAGGTTGAGGTTATTATCAATGGAGAGAGGGAAGAGGAAAGGAAGAACCTTCCTAGGTCTTACCTGATGGAGGTTGAGGTTATTATCAATGGAGAGAGGGAAGAGGAAAGGAAGAACCTTCCTAGGTCTTACCTGATGGAGGTTGAGGTTATTATCAATGGAGAGAGGGAAGAGGAAAGGAAGAACCTTCCCAAGGTCTTACCTGATGGAGGTTGAGGTTATTATCGATGGAGAGAGGGAAGAGGAAAGGAAGAACCTTTCAAGGTCTTACCTGATGGAGGTTGAGGTTATTATCAATGGAGAGAGGGAAGAGGAAAGGAAGAACCTTCCCAAGGTCTTACCTGATGCAGATTGAGGTTATTATCGATGGAGAGAGGGAAGAGGAAAGGAAGAACCTTGGTGGCCGCAATGTCTTTGGTGATACCCAGCTTCTTATGATTCATTGATACCTTGATAATACCTGGAAAATATATTTATTTTTAAAAAAGAGAAAAAAGACAGCATGACAATAATATTCTGCAATTATAGAGAATTTTATACAAAATGCCGTCTCTAAGTGCTTTACAGATATATTATTACCTCAGTCCTTGGATTCATTTATGCGCAAAAAAACCCTGCAAATTCCAATGAATTCATACCCCCCCCCCCCCCCCCCCGACCCCTTTTCCTTCAAACAAACTTACCTGAAAAAAAATATTTAAAAAAGACAGAATGCAATAATAATGTACTAAATCCATGTACCAAAGGCATGTGTCATTCATTTTTTTTAATATGGAACGGCTAAAACAGTTTAAAAAAACACCTTAGCTTTATACTTCTAATCAACTTTACAAGCAACCTAAACAAAACAGCAAATTTCAAAGAATACCCCACCCCCCTCTAACAAACTAACCTAACATGCCCATAAGAAGAGCAGTTTCTTTAGATGATATCTGCAGGAGTAACACCCTTCCCCTCCCCCAAGCAAAAACACACGATCCTATAATTATAATCAAATTTACAAGCAAACCTTAACAAACTGCAGATTGCAATGGTTTTCTCCCCCCCCCCCTCCCTCTTTCCTTTAAACAGACTTACCTAAGATGCCCATAAGAACAGCAGGTTCTCTGGAAGGTATCTGCATGAGGAGCGGTAGTATTTCATCAAGGACAAACCATTTGTCCATGTGCTCAAGCATCTTTCCTAGACTCACCAGGCATCCTACACGAACCTAATGATCAGAGAGGAATATCACTTGTATAAATACCAGCAGTCCTATCAGTGCTTTGTTTTATTGCCCTTTCTGAATGCACAACCAATTTTTCAACTGGAATTTAAAAGTTAAGTGTCAGTACCGGGTAATGCGATATTACTATAGGAAAATATTAACCTGCACTTGCTACTCTCCACACAGGTGATTAATGGGTACCTGCTAGGATGCGGCCGTCATTGTTGGGCAAACAGTTTATGAGTGTCAAGTAACGCCTGGCTGGAATGCTCCCTATGGAGTGGAGAGTGTGCACACAGTGTGTGCCAGCAAGCACTGAATCCAGGGTAAAAGTATATCTGTAAAGCGCTTAGTGATATTGTATCAGGGCTTAAATTAATCCAAGGCCACCAAGGCCATGGCCATGGATGCCCCTTTGATTGGTCTCAATGCCCCTCTCATTGGCCTTGGAGATTTGTTGTGCCCTTTCCAATTCTTCCTATTTGTGCTGTAATATAGGAATGTGCCCTACAGAAAAGTGGCCTTGCCCTAAAAATATCGAAATTTAAGGCCTGTTGTATTAAGCGCTATATAAGCGGAATATTATTATTATTAATAACTTACTGACAGGCGGGAGGTTTCCAAACAAATTTTCTTCAGTCTGGGGACGATGGAATGTTTGATGGAGTTGTACTCTATCATCCCGGCAAACGAAGGCAGAATGTTTAGGCACAGCTCCTTCAGAAAAAAAATGATAAGACATAATAAATGTCAGAATCAAATGAGGATAGCATAAATCAATACAATGCGATACTGTTGTGTATTGACAAATGGTGTTCCATAGTTTGCCGCTATTGCTGCTACTTTGTGCTAGCTGCGTGTTCCATGTGTATAATATGCTCTACCAATAAACAATGAACATACCACTCAAACGATTGTGTAACTGTGGTTATTAATGAGTAGAACCCAACAGATACAATATTAGCACTTTTAACTGTACCATAGCGGTTTACAAAGTTATGATATAAATTACCGTTCATGTATATACCGGTACACGCTTCTTTTCTAGCCACTGCATTTCGCAAAGTTACCTTCTGTGGCACATAACAAGTTTCAAGTTTCAAATTTCATTTCAATTCAAATCCATACAAAACACATAAGATACAGATTATATACAATATAGAAAACAGAGAACACACACAAAATGGAAATATGTCTACAAAAATACCGGAATTGTACAAAGTTAATCAGCAAAAGAAATGGATTGGGGAAATAACAAATAAAACCATAAGGTTCTGTCGAGGCAGTCCCTGTTATTAAAAGATACAAACAAGTTCCAACAATTGCCTATAAAATATATAACAATAACAAAACAGTGTACAAAACATAGGAGACGTATTTACATGCAAATATTATTATTGATTTAAAAACAGATGAAGTATTTTATAATTTTAGATTGAAAAGAGTTAAAGAATGTAGTATCACAGATATCTCAAGGGAGAGAATTCCATATTTTGAGGCCAGTGTGTCTAAAAGTAAATAAAGAACTTGTTGATGGACATTTTTTTCAATTAAATAATTATCAGGATTTCTAGTATATAATTAAAATAAATAGAGACGATTTCAAACTGACCTGTATCTGAGCAGAGGAAGACTCTAGAGCTCTGTAAACCATGGGTAGAACATGATTCTTGATGTCTTCAGACGGTGTCTTCGTGAGGAGGAGGTTCATCCGTTGCATGAAGATGAGTAAAATCTGAAAGGGGGAGGTGGTGGGGAGGGAGGGGTAGATGAATACATGCGCAAAATTCATTACTATGTTATTATATCTGTGTAATTATTTTGTTCATTTGGACGCCTGAATCAACAAGCTAAAACAAGCTTTCTACAGGTGCTCCCTTTTCCTGCTACTCATGTTCACTGTTAGTTTAAATTAACTTAACATAATGCTCATGATTTGTATATTTTAAACTGTCTGTACTATATCACATGTATATATTTTTTCGTTTTTTAATGAAAATAAAGTCTTTTGAATTGAATTGAATGACAGGCTAAGACTCAAACTCAGCTCAGGGGATGACAGACTCAGCTTAGTTTCATTACATGCATGTATACAAAGATCAAACATGTGATATGTACATGTAGAACTTTACTTTTGTTGTCTTCCAACATTATCATCATCACCAATCTTTTCATCTTCATAACCATCAGGAGGCGCGATAGCTCAGTCGGTAGAGCAGTGGTCTCGGAATCCGGAGACCCGAGTTCGAAACCAAGTCGATGCGCTAGTGCCCTTTGGTAAGGCATTAATCGTCATTGCCAGGTCCCTTGGAGAGGACCTAAAGCCATCGGCCATCTGTATGCTTACTAACAAGCATTTAAGCTTTCTTAGCAGACAGGTAAAATAGCCACCACCACCCATCATCATCCTCCTCGTTGTCGTCATCATCATCATGACCAACATCATCAGCATTATCGTCATTATAGTCATCACCAACATAATCTTATCTTCCTCCTCCTACTCCTCCTCACCATCATCACCACCATACTTAATATTATCATTTAAACCGCCTAGAGGCATTACTCAATTTGCGGTATAGAAATGTCTTGTTATGATCATCATCACTGCCACCATCGTCATCATCATCATCATCATCATCACCATCACCACTATCATTATCATCACCATTATCATCACCATCATCATCTTCACCACCATCAACACTATCATTATCATCACCATCATCACCACCATCATCATCTTCACCACCATCAACACTATCATTATCATCATCATCATCATCACCATCATCATCATCACCACCACCACCATTGTCATCATCATCACCATCATCACCATCATCATCATCTTCACCATCATCACCACTATCATTATCATCACCATCATCACCATCATCATCACCATCATCATCATCTTCACCACCATCAACACTATCATTATCATCAGCATTTCAAGCTTCATACGCTGTATCCCTCCTATATCATGTTAATAGTGAAATAATATTCTATGTTCGATACATTATAAATTGTAAATTATGTCACACAGATGGACATTATGTATGTTTGAAATATGATATAGAAATCAATAAATCAAATCAAATCAAATCAAACCTTCATCATCATCACCCCCATCACCAACATACTCATTACCTGAACAGGTTCTTGCATCTTAAAGACGTTCTTGAGGCTTGGTAAGACAAGCTTGACATACTCCTGATCCGTGCACTGCTCTGCGATGAGAAGGACGTTGGGGAGCACGAAGGGCACCATGTCCGGGTTCATGAACTCCTTACACAAGCACGGTAGAACCCTCTGCTGTACAACTCTCTATGGAAAAGAAAATACACAGGGGTGATAGTGACACTAAAAAAAAGGGGGGGGGGGGTTTCCCTCAACCACACCCCCCCCCCCCCCCCCTTGTGTAAAAAAGAAAGAAAGAGGATTTGGGGAAAAAATGGCATCTAACAACATTCCCCCCCCCCCCCCCTCTTGAGTAAGAAAAATTGGGAAAGAATAGGGGGAAATAGGGAGGAATAGAGAAAATAAGGGAAAAATTGGGATCAAATCGGGAAGAAAAAAAAAGAAAAAAAAAAAGGGAAGAAAAAAAAAAATTGGGAAAAAATACTGCATTGTGTTGAAAAATAAACCTGCAGATAAGGAGTTTATATATTACCTTGGGCAGTTTGGAGATGACTTTAGGAAGACCTTTGAAGAATTGAGCTTTCTGTTGATTGTCTTGTTGAAACAACGAGTCTACATACTGCAGTGTCATCGCACCAACATCATCAAAGTATGGGATCTAAAGAGGCGATAAGAGAGAAGTTTTCTTATATTTCTAAATTTTTCAGTTGGTTTGTTTTACCCGACTGCTAAGAAAACATGTGTATGCTTGTAAGTAAGCAGCCAGTGGACCAAGGACTTTAAGTCCTCTCTGAAGGACTTGGTAAGGAGGATTAATGCCATACCAAAGGACACTAGAGCACATTGACTTGGTTTCGAACCTCCCAGTTACCACACCACTGCTCTACCACTGAGCTATCACAATTTATTTTTTACATCAATCAGTGTTCCCTCCTCAAAAAGGCAACAATTAATCCTACTTTCTACTCCTTCATAGTTGGAAGAAAAAAAAATTCATTGAATGAAACAATGTGAAAGAAAATTGCAAAATGTAACCCCCAAAGTGGCAAGTGCTACCCACAAATTGTGATTTTATATTTTACACGAGACTTTGATGATTACCGGTAGCTCCAATTAAATCAGTCTTATTCGAGAATGGCACAATATACTGCTGTGGAAATAAAGTCACTTTTTCTGTAATTTTGGCTCTTTCTGCTCCTCATCACCACCACTACCACCATATTGCCACAATCATCTTCATTACCACCACCATAAGGCCTAAAATAAAGATGTCGTATTGCCCTTTGCGACCAACTCCAAAATCTTGAAATCTACCGTCGGCTTATTAAAAAAAAAATGTTAATGAATACAAAAATATGTATTAAAGCGAAAAAATGAGAAATATCAGCCCAAAGAGGGAGAAGAAAAAATGTTGAACAAAAAAAGATTTCTGACCGACCGACCCATGTTTTGGCACCTAAAGGGCAATACAACATCTTTTTTTTAGGCCTAATCATTATCATCACCATCATTACCACCACCATAATCAGTTCACCACCAACATCACCACAGCCACAACCCGCATCCTAACTATCATCCCGCTCCCATCCTGCTAAGCATCGCCATGTTTCTCTCAGTATTTACCTTGCCAAGTTGATCAGCATCCGGTCTGATTGTAGGTGTGGTACTTAGTAACATCTTGACGTATTCCTTCAAACCATCAGGGAGACTGGATAATAATGATATACTCAGACTACGCAGCTGGAAAAGATATTATAAACATCACAAAATGCAATCATCACTGTGATGATATTCACCTTCCTAAACAGCTCATCAGTTATCTCACTACAGTCAAACCTGTCTACAGCAACCGCTCAAGGGAAACACAAAAAGTCGTCTTGTAGACAGGTGCCTATAGTACATGTTTCAATGAGAAACCATTTTCAAGGGAAAATAAAAAGTAGACAAGTGGTCACTAAAGCAGGTTTGACTATATATAAAAATTAAATATTATTATTATTATTATTATTATTATTATTATTATTATTATTATTATATATGGCATTACTGTGTGTATCTCTCCAAAATCATTTTCTGTACAAGTATAAATTTACATAATTATGGGAAGAATATTAATCTGTTGAATGAAAAAACAACAATAAGAACCGCAAATGTTTTTTTTTCTAACAATGTATCCTTTTCAAACTCAACACGAGGAAATCAATGACTTGGGTAACAGTACATTACACTGAAAATCTCTCTGATTTGTACTAACTGAGAAAGGTAGTGCAATTATCAATACTGGCATTCACATAGAAAAGATTGCAGTATAAAAGCTTTTATTATACTCTCGATTTCCCACCTCCCCAACTCCGGACCAAACATGATTACCAAACTGTAACCAGGGTTCTAAACCAAAGCTAAGACCTAAATGCAAACCTGACCATGATATTCTATATTTGAAGAGCTTAATTCCAAAAGGACTAAATCCACTTCTGACGAAAATTGAGCTATTGATATCAGAGCATTGTTCACTTAAGTACCCATATTTCAACAAAATTATTTACCTAAATTTGGGGAGCAATTATGAAAAAATGCACCTTTTAATTTCACTTTTTGCCTGTACAAAATCTGGTAACCAATTTCTTTTTTCTCAGAAGTTACACAAATGGATTTAGCTCCTTTTGAAATTGAACTCTTCATTTAACGAAATGAAGGTCTAGAGGTGTTGTGGTCTTGTGAATAAGTCGCCGGACTGTAGATCACAAGGTATGGGATTCAAATCCCAATCCAGCAACAACTAAGCGTTAAAGATATTTTACCTGTTCTGATTTCTGTTTAAAAGTGGACAGATTCTCGTTGCAATCGTGGAAGAGTTTCCCGGTGTTAATGACGGAGTACATTAGCATTCCCAGACTGAACAAGTCACTGGACGTATCACAGCTTTGTGTTAGCAGGTATTCCGGGGCCAAGTAGTTCAGGTTGGGCTGAAGAACAGCCGAGACGTCGTTCATAAGCTCTCGTAAGGGGAAACTAGCCTGTGAGTAAAAGAGGGCAAGAAAAGCATTGGGAGAGGCATTTAGCAAATGTATTTTATTTTTATTTTTTGGGGTCAATGATGTTTTTAATACAACTACAAACCACATGTGAGGGAGGAAAAAGCGATGAAAAAATTAGAAAGTAACGGAGAAAGCCAATAAGACAATCAGAAAATTACCAACAATGAGAAGACAATATACTGCAGAGGGAAACAGAGGCAAAGACACAGAGAGACAAATAAAGTGACTACATTGAGATGGGAAAGGTCATGTGATCCTCCTGGAGTCAGGTGACTTACCGGTTGATCAGCTGGTGATGAGGATGGAATGACAAAGTCGAATCCTGCTAGCTTCCAAGCTCCATTGCTGTTGAGGATGATGCTTGCTGGGGTGATATTACCATGGACCATGTGGACATCATTGTGTAGAAACTTCAAGGCGTCAGTTAACTGTTAAAAGCACACAAACCCATGAAAGTCACCTTCTTGTTTTTCAATATCAATTCAATTCAATTCAATTCAATTAAATTCAATTTAATTCAATTTATATCGCAATATAAACATGTAAGTGGTGGTGGTGGTGGTGGTTATTTTACCTGACTGCTAAGAAAGCATAAATACTTGTAAGTAAGCAACCAGACGGCCGACGGCTTTAGGTCCTCTCCGAGAAACCTGGTAATGAGGATTAATGCCTTACTAAAGGGCACTAGCGCATCGCCTTGGTTTCGAACCCGGGTCACCGGATTACGAGACCATTGCTCTACCGACTGAGCTATCGCGCCTGTTACAGAGTAACAGAAAATGTTAACTATATTTACAAAGGTTATGTGCAGGGCTTTCCATGAAGAATGCGGAAACCTCTGAAGTTGATCGCCCATTACAGAATGGATCACATATCTAGTGTGCAAAAATAAACTTAAGGGAAACACAAATTACCTCCAGGTTATATGTTTAAAAAACAATTTACAGGACAACACAAACTATACATAGAAAGACATATTACATAACATAATTTATTGAAACATAAAATTCACATACCAGTAAACACTACTTTTGAAGAAATTGGAAAATAATAAGGGTAAGATGGGTTGAAATAAACATTTCAAGATCATAATTTTGCACAACTTAAAATTGTGTTTTGATGTTTAAGGCATACATGTAGTTGAGGAAAGGTTATTAACCCTATTTAGTCCGGGGGGGGGGGGGGGCTTTAGAAGCCCTCCCCCCCTTGGCATTTTTCGCGATAATTTTTTAACGCAAAAAAAATTTGGACTGAAATTTTGTGACTTTATTCTTTCGAGTCGTGCGCATCTTTTGAAAGAAATTTTTCGAAAATCGGACCTACCGTTACAAAGTCACGTGTCGTTTTGTCTTTGCATGTCAGCCCGAAAATCGCTCATTTTTGTGATTTGTGTACAAAACATATGGAAATCTCATTTTTCAAATAATGAGATAAAACATTGGTTATTTGGTCTTGTTTATAGTTTAGGTGTTTATTTTGGGGTCAAAATAGTTGAATTATAGTTGGAAATGAAATAAAACAACAAAAACAATAAAATACATAAGTTAAAAAAACAAAGAAATACATAAGAAATTATCAAAACAATAGATAACATAAGGAATAACCCTGGTTTTTCATTTTTTTGTGTTGTATTATTATTCCAAATGGTCTAACAAATATATGTAGTGAGAAAGAATGCTTAAATATGAATAATGTCTGATTTATGGGCAAACATGTGAATTTAATGACCTTATTTGCATAAATTACCATAAATATGCAAATGAGTGAATTTTTCAAAAAAATGAAATTACCATAGTATTCTATACACTTCACTTGACATGAATGCAAATTTTCGCGGCGATTGGGCGTTTCACGGCCGAGATCATAGGGGGGGGGAGGGGCCTTAGAAGCCCCCCCCCCCCCCCCCCGGGCTATGCAGTTTCAAAATAGCCCGGGCTAAATAGGGTTAAGACATCAAATTGCACTACTCTCTGATGAAATGAAGAATATAATCACACAAAGAAATTAATGAAGCGCTTCTAACGCAACATTTATTATATTTCTTTTTTTGTTCTCTCCATGAATCTATAGTACTATAGCTTCCGGCTACCACTATAGCTAGATCAGCATTTTTCGTCGTTCCCAAATTTTGCACTGTTTAAAAGAGATAATGAGTTTTCTTCAATTTCCAGGTAGGTAAGTTATATTTGTTTTAATACAATAGATAGAAATGTCATTATCTTGGTAAGTTTGAACTATATTAGGGGGTAAGTTTTTCCCTAAACATCCAGAGAGCTATAAAAATGTAAGTTTTGTTTGGTTCATGTATTTATGAGCCCAGAGCCTGCAGCAAAGGAAATACCCATATATCGCCTGCTGCAAAGACATCAGGCGGGCAGATTTATCAAACTGCTACTACTTCTACACGAATTTTTAAAGCCAACAAAACATATCTAAACCTACCTGTAGGAGTCCATATTTAATCTCGACTTCAAACAGCTCGTGTTCTCCAATGTACGGAGGGATGGGCGAAGGCATGTTGTCATGGCATCCTAATATGTTGGCTAGGCTTGCAAAGACAGGCTCTGTGGCAAATGCAAGGCTTTCTCTGTGAGTGTATGATGGCAAATAGACAGAAAATCATAAAACCGGTAAATCAACCAAAAAAAAGACAACTTAAAGATAAAGGTGAGCTCTGGTCATCCAATTTTTTTTAAAGAAAAGATGTGGAAAGGATCAGAAAAAGTTGATCATGTAGCATGTAAGTATTGGTGTGTACTGCACAGTTCTGGAGTCATCAAAAGCATAATAAATTTGGCCCAGTCTTGGTAAAGTAACAATCACTGAACACAGAAAGATGTATATGGGACCACACAAATGGTGTCGGGGCTACTAACCTTGATTTCCTAATCTGTCTATGCTCATTACTCAACCAGTATACATTTTCTACCAAAATTGTTTGGCAAATGACATTTATTGTAATCTTGAACATTCAGTAAGTTTTGTTTGATTCTGTGAGAATTAATTTTTTTTTTTTTTACCAGAACTCATCTTTATCTATTCAGGTAAGCTCAAGTTTTTGAGGTTGATTTTATTTTTTACACATTCTAGCTGTACATAAATTATGATTTTAGGTGATTGGAATACTTTGACAAAACTATCTGCAATCACTTACCTTGTTTCTTCCAGTGGATGTTGAACAGTGAGCACACAGGGATGGCGTAGCCTTGTCAGCTGGGTGGAACCCTTCCGTAAGATCTCTAACAGTGGATCCCGATCTCGCTTGGCAAATCTTTCCAAGAGCTTCTTTTCAAATACAAATACACCAGCTTCCTGTGCGTGATTAGAAGTTGACAAAATTTGGTTTATGTTTTAGGGAGCATTTGTGAGACAAAGGAGGAGTTCATATTTGTCCAGTATCAATGGTTATGTTTTCGAAACCATTTGTTTATTTTTTATGGCTGTACTGACAAGTCATTAAAAATATCTGGCAAAAGAACTATTTGAGTGTAATGAATACGTTCAATTGGATTTTTTTCAATTTTCAATATCTGAAACTAAACAATGATACATTATTCTTTGCAAGGAGCCCTGCCAGTAGATGTTTTCAACTTAGTTTCATAAAAATGCTTCAAACAAAATTAATATTATGGCAAATTTGGTAACATTTTTCTTCTAAAAAGGTTCCCGATTTATTATTACATGCAATTTGGGAGACTGCCTCCAATGTCTGACACTTTTGTCAACAATTTTGGTAGCCTATTGTGCATAAATGGGGTAAATTCTGGGGATATTAAACATTGAAATGATCGCAGATTTGAAAAAGAAAAGGAAATAATTTATTTTTAAAAGAGCAAAATATTGCCTACCTGCTTGGTAGACCTCTTGACAGCATGATATATCTTCCACAGACAGCCCGGTCCTCCGCTCCCTACATGTCTGATGATCTCATACTCCCTCATCACAGGGTTCCCAATCAACCCTCCAACAGTACTCTTCAGTTTATTTAGCATCTCCATCGCGTCAATCAGCTTGTTTCATCCACCTAGTAATAATAGGGTGTCTGCTGGAGGCTGGCCAAATCTGCCAGCTGGTTTTTATGCTGTGTCGGAACCAAAAAGACACACCCCCAAATAAGAAGAAAATATTTTGAACACAAGCAATTTTCAAAGATCAGTTTTAGTTCTTGTAGTAGTACTAGTAGATCGGCATTTATATCTTAATCAGTAGGGACGCCGGTTCGAGAATGAGGATCGTCCACATAAACAAGGATATCCTCGTATACGCGGACAAAATGCATCCTAAAAAGAATCATCCTAAAAAGAATCGTCCTCATTTTCACAGACGCTTTTTTTCTCTGGCACTCTGCAGGTTTGAGGTTCCTGTTCCGCATGCTGGCAATGCAAAAAACGAATTCCACCTAATAAAATACCCAAGTCTGTCCGCGTTTATGGGGACGATCCCTATTCTCTGACAAGCTAAATACGAATGTCTTTTCAATGCAATGCAATGATAATAATAATATTAATAACAATAAACATAGTACTAATGATAATAATAATGACATTTCTAACTACATTCATGACAACAACAAAAAGAGACTAGAGTCTAGATCTAAATCTAGACTCTATATTCATTCATTCGGTTGGCCTGCTTTTACAGACACGAATTGCAGTATGTGGGACAAGTGCAAATAATGGGCGCGTCACCCGCAAGAGTTTTCAGTATGAAAACGTTCAAGCACACGTACATACATGTCACCCCGCTCCAAATTTCTTACACCACTACTATTTACTCATTAAACATTTTTAAAGAGATACTCACAGACCAGAACAGACGGGATGTTGGCCAGCTGTGACGTGACGTAGACTATTCTGACTTTGGGTCATAGGCAATTAATCGGTTCATCATTATGCATCCGATATGAACCCGCTGCACTCTTCTACCAGGCTAAATCATGTACGAAATTCAAAAGGAAAATAATTTTGTCGAATTCATGCAGATATGTAGTTATTTTTTTTTTTATGTGTTGATTATTGAATGAAAATAAAATTCGTTTCCATGGAATTTTTTAAGTATAATCATTTTAAATTATTAAAAATCCTTCAAAATGTAATAATTTATTATACAAGCGGCTGAATTGATTGAAGATAGCGCTCATTCAAATTAAAATTTCAAAACGAACGTAAGGCGTGTGTGTTGTATGTTGAGGCAAAAGACCGTGGGGGGGGGGGGGGGGGCTTTCTAAATAACTTGATGGGGAAGAGTAAATTATGATCTGGGACGGGAATCGGGAGGTGGGATTATCACCAAGTTCAGTCAGTTCAGTTTATTCAATTCCATCTTTAAAAGAACATTTGTACAAAGGTAAAAAAACATGCAATTTCATACATTACATAGACCTCTAGATCGACTCTATAGGCTACGTAAAATACGAACAGAATATAGGCACAGATGCAGGCGCGTACGCAGGGGGGGGGGGGGGGGGGTTTGGGGGGTTAAACCCCCCCCTTTGGAAATTTTTTGTGTGTAAACCCCCCTAAAAAAAAACTAAAACCCCCCCCCCTTTTGGATTTTTTTTTTTTTTTTTTTTTTTTTTTTTTTTTAATTATTAAAAAAAAAAAAAAAAAAAAAAAATTATTCCCATGGCCGACCTAAAAAAGGTGACCTTACCCCCCCCCAACGGAGCAAAATGTCAAATTTCCAAATTTCGAGACCCAAAAAAAAAAAAAAAGTGTCCTCTTACCCCCCCCCCCCCCCCCCCCCCCCCCCCCCGCTTATTCAGCGGTCGGCTGAGTCGTTGCGATTTTTTTGGGACCAAAAAAAATTCAGCGGCTGGCTGAGTCGTTGCGAAATTTTCGGACCGATTTATAAATGTTAAAACCCCCCCCCTTGAAAAAATCCTGCGTACGCGCCTGCACAGATGTATACAAAAAATGAAATAAGAGAATGTTTTGCCTGAACAGCTTCCTATCAAATTAATATAGTAAGAAAACAAGTAAAGTTTTAGAGTACGTACCATTCAGAAATTGCATAACAACCGGAACAAACCAATACACGATAGGATGCAATATAAGTTGAGATTGCAAAGGAGAAATGTGAGGGGATCAATATAGGGAAGAGAAAGCTAGAGAGAAAGAGAGAGAGAGAGAGAGAGAGAGAGAGAGAGAGAGAGAGATGAAAAGTTGGATAAATACATTCAGTGAGTGTCATATATGCGCAATTAATTAGAAAATTTTGAGATTACGTTCAAAACTGTTGTAGACTGAAATTGGAGTTATCAAATAAGTTCCAAATTTCAGGTGCATGATGTCTTCAAGCATAATATGATGCAAAATTTGTATTAACAGTACACCATATCATGATGATATTTCTTTTTATTTATAACACTATAATTATGTATTGCATGTAATTTGTTATGAAAATATTGGGTAAGTTTTTAGGAAGCAGATTTTTTTCATTCTTAAATATAATTCATAAGGCACACATATATTCATTTAACTGGTAAAAATCCATTAAGTTGTTTAAAAAGCGGTCTTGAATGCGTTATATTTCCAAGATATAACACTCTGTCCAACAGGTTCTGTCTGCTATGCCCTATGAAGGTCGGTCCCCAGACGTAAATAATCGTATCTGATTGAAACACGTCTGTAAAAACCAAATTACCCCCCCCCCCCCCCCCCCCCTCCCCTCGCCCGACCCATTCTGCTGCAAGAAACATCTATAACGATTTCAATGATAAAAACAAGTGGTAACTTCAGTTCATCCCCTATATCAAGAAAAGTTGGTTGTGGATATTTTGCTGGAAATTTCTACAGAGCAGCTAGCCCAGGTGGTTCTACCGTACAGTATGTTTCGTTCATTCAGGACAGGTCTCCAGCGTCTTGGAAGCTTAGAATTAGAGGTAACAGAATAATAGTAGATCTACAAAATCTTAAATTTGTCGTTTACCCTCTTTCTCTTGTTACCGGTAATCAGCGGCACGCCCACATGAATGTCGCCGAGCCGTGTAGGCGCGGCTTGAGCCTGCCCTGGCCTGGACCTGGGATTACGGGCGCGGGTGCGGCGCGGGCCATCAGCTAGCGAACAATGAATAGTGTGGCACTTGCCACTGCCACTTGGTGGGGCAGCAGCTGTGCAGTGAATACGCCTTAGCATTGACCACACTGTGACTTACGTGTTGTTGGTGTGTTGCAAACTATCTTAAACGAAATCAATGGCCAATGCTCACTCATCAGCCTTGCCTTAGCTCTAGCTGACTCCTCGCCAGAGTTCGGCGCTAGTGTAGACTGTAGTTCCGTATCAATTTTTTTTAAGCAGTTCAGTCTATCCATTCTTAGCAAAGGAAATTTAGCCCAATTTTTTACTAATTTTAATCATAATCATATAGGCCTAGACCTAGATCTATTACATTTTCCACCTGAATTTGGATCACATCCGAAATCGGAAAGCCTCAGTTTAAGGCTTCGATGTCGACGTCGTCGCTCAGTACTAGTGTCTGAACGATTTTTCAATTTTCAATTTGGGATCGTTTTTCACCATTTTTGTTTGATATTTGAATAAAAAATGTTATCAGAATAATACATTTCAAATTTCAAGTCTCACCGATGTTTCTATCAAAAGTTACAGCCCCTCCAACACGCTGGTATATTCATATCATTTTGGTCAAAATCGACGAAAAAGACGTCCACGCAGAGTGATGCTGTTTTGCTAAATTTAGCCAAACAGCTGTATCGCGCGATATGCAAGCGTATGCATATCGTACGCATGCTGCTAAGCCAATCCGCGACTTGCAGCTTGAGCTACGCTGTCTCCGCGACATGTGCGATTGACTAGTATGGTTGGCGTTCGTCGCACAATAAACCCGGAAGTGAATGCACGTTATAGTCAATGGCAATATCGCGGAGAAAAATTGTCTCCGCGATATTGCCATTGACTATAACGTGTATTCACTTCCGGGTTTATCGAGGGAATTGCCAACCATAATTTCAGTCACTATAATGTGTAATTGAATTTGGGGTTTCGTTCGTGCGCGGAGATGTTACGCGATGTAACCATGGTTTGGACTGAGCGGAGCGCACGCCTCCTAATTAGCTGATCCACCAAATAGCGAGAAGGGTATTTTTAAACTGTTATCAGTTGTGATCCCTGGGGGCTAGCGAAAATATAATCACATAGAATTGTTCCTTAGGACTGGGACTTCTTATCGATCGGGGCGTCATATCTCAAAAGTGACAAACCTCAGAGTTAGCCAGGACACAATGTTTAAATTGCTGTTTTGACCAAGATATTTTTAGAATTTCGGGGGCTACGCCCCTTTGGAAATATTGGAATTCACCTGCTCTTTCATATGACACCTCATTCATTGATTATCACCTTCAGGATCACAACTGATAAAGGTTTGAATCTCGATTTGAAAAAAAAAAATTGACTTTTTTTGCATGGTCGCGCAATGCACGTAGGCTGCATAGGGATGCGTGTAATCTCTATGGGAAGAATTTTAGCACACAACATCGGGTGCGCGATCAGACACCCTATCAGTACCGTCTCCACGCTATACTACTAGCTTTGCAACTCAAACTGAAGCTATCAGTCCAAAATTATGCAAACTTCTCGTATGGATGATGGCTATCGTGCATGCGTGTAGTTTGCATAATTTTGGACTGATAGCTTCAGTTTGAGGTGCAGAGCCAGTGGCGGATCCAGGGAGGGGGGGCCGGCCCCCCCCCTCTCCCCCCCTTGAAAAAAACATGTAAAAACACGTGATTTTTACCATTTTGGGGGATTGGGGCCCCCCCCCCCCACTGAGGGAATATTCGGCCGGCGCGATTTGCAAATTTTCGGGAGCAAAAAAAATTGTGCTATTACATTCAGTGCTTTGTCGCACAATTGTGTGAAAATAGTGCGGAAATACGCTTCGCTCCTTGTCAACGGAGACACCACGCACAAATCTTGTGACTGTATTCTATTCGGTTTGACCGAATTCTTGGCAGAAAATTGCTCCTTCTTCTTTCAGATATATTTTGCTTATCATCATTCTATATTTTAAGTGACTTTAAAATTCTAATTTTCTTTTCTTTTGATGGGTAGATTGCCAAATAAAGGAGGTAAGAATTCAAAATATTTGTGATTTCCCCTTACGGTAAGTGACCGAATACCGGGCGCGCTACCCTATACCCATAGCATGGGCGTCAATCCTTACATGTACGTAATACCTATTGTTCAGGGGGGATGAATGAATAGATCATCCCCCCCCCCCCCTGAACAATAGGTATTACATAAGGATTGACGTCCATGACTCATAGTCTAGTCATACATTTTGAAATTGGTCAAGAATTTAACCCAAAACTTAGAAATTTGTTACGGGAGTGATGGCGCTTTGCATATCCATTCCATGAGAAGAAGGACATGACATCAAAAAAAGAAATGTACCTCTTATGTTAATTCTTTGATTTATCACTAACCTTATGCCATGGATGTTCATAAAACATTAGGGCCTTTCAAATTCAATACAATTTTTTTTTCATTTTTGTTGATTTCCTAAGATCTCAAACTATCATCAAAAACGTACATGTGGGACTGTAGCTGAAAAAAAACAATTTATTGCAGATTACACAGGATTCTTGTAATATTTTTTCCCGAAAATTTCGCTAAATGGAAAAAGATGAATATATTTCCATATTCTAAGGGGTCCTGTGATATTTAATCTATTACATAGGGGTGAAAATGGCCTCCGGACAAAATGTAACGCGAGTTACCGTAACGTGAGTTACCGACATATTTGCTTCCTGCATTTTACAAGTCCATTGTTTCTTATCTTTAATATTGTGATCTTATACTAGTAAGTCACAACCTACTATCAAATTAAAATAGGAAAGATTTTGTCAAGATTGTCTAGTATGAGGAGAAAAGAGGGTCTCGTAGAATTGACCATGTCCTTTTTTTGTAACGCGAGTTACCGAAATTCAATAATCCAAGAATCTAAAAATGTTTGTTCTTCAATTTTCTTTTTTGTTTCATTCAGTTGTTCTATATCTACCCTGTCCATGTTTGAAAAAAGTATCTTGTAGATCCTAGCAGTTCTAAAGATATAGGCACATTATCGTGTCAATGTACCCATTAAGTGTAACGCGAGTTACCATGGAATGGCCCTGTACATGTATGTGTTCCTACAAGTAACATGTGATTTACAATGATTAAAAAAATGCTGACCTCTGGTAGGATTTGCGATGTTGGTTCAAATGCGTCACATTTTGTCAATCACTCATAACTTTGGTTTAGAGCAAGCTATGACCTTAGCTTTGACCAAAGTGTAAACAGGAAATTGGCCCTTTCAGAGTACGTGGTGAAACCCGTCTGCCAATTTGATCTTATGAAACAAGGAGACGTCACCGAACACGAGCAGTGTATGCCAAAACGGCAAATTCTGGGGCCGATTTTCACATTCGGCTGTGTTTGTGCCGTACTCGGGGTAAAAAAGGGCTGAGCGTAAGTAAGTTGGTTCATTCATCACTCTACAGAGGCTCCTAGAGGGGCTAATTCCATAATAATTTGATACCATATGAAAGAAGAGATTCTAAGCTTTCCAGAAATATATGTCACGCTTTGAATGTAAATTGTAGCAAAATCGCAAGTTATACAATTTAAAATGTTGTGTTTCTGATCGATGAGTGTATGTGGCGTTTGTGAGTGTCTTCACTGTTCACTGAAGCGAACGAACACCCTATTAAGAGCATTGTACTACATACTACTACTAAGGTTGACATTTCCGTATAATTGTATCTCCTCTTTGACAGTCCTACTATGGCAGTAATTCTTCAGTAAGGGGGCTAGCCACCAGGGCCCCCACCATTCCGGGGCTGGCGATCAACGACAACATGATGCTCCAGAAATCTCCTGTTCCTGTTGTCGGGGCGTCTGCTGAGACTTCCCGACCCCTCGTCCTTTTGCTTAGCTGGCTGGTTGCGAAGGAACGACACGTAAACAACTTCTCACGTATCTACTTGGATCGAGGATGTGACGTGTTAGTCGTTAAAATGAAACCTATGCAGATCCTTCTACCGCAGTCAGGCTCCCAGGTAATTACATGTAGTAGCTGTGTGATCCCATTACAATCCAAATGTAACAGAAATTGATGATAATGATTATAATAGTAATAATAATAATAATAAGAGTGGTGATAAACTAATAGGCAATGAAAAAGAAGTATAATGATGACAATGTGTACAACAATGACAACAATAATAACAATAATAATATCAACAAAATTGATATTACTAATATTAATAAAGTAAGGATATTTAATATTAATAATAATGGTAATAATAATAGTTTTAATACTAGAACAGTTCTTCTTATAGAGTACATTATATCTTTAAAAAAAATGTCTTAACACAACTAGGAAATAGTGAAGAAAGAATCCAAACAAATAGAAAAGCTACAGGAAAATGACATTGATTGCTTTGCACAAATATGAATCAATTACAGCCCTCAAGTGTTGGGAGCCCCAAATTGATGGCAAAATTTCACTTGAATTGTATCATAATGTAAAAAGGATGTCATTTAAGGCTTATTTCTGCAAGGATTTTCAAAAGAAATGTGTTTGAAGTCAAAATTGATGAAAGAATACAAAATTGAGGTTTTCTGCATACAACAGAAATTCTTTTATAATTAATTGTCTTCAAACACATATTTGGGGATACAATTTAAGCTTGTCTTTATGGGGGATACTACTCCATAGTTTTGGGGCAGCATGCTTAAAAATCCCTTTACCATCAGACAGAAATTGTACTTGTATATGTTCAATCTTTTTGGTTGAGATTCCAAGAGTCAGATTATTCTGAGGTTGGTCTGCCAAGGGATAAGATTTTAAGAGGAACTTCATTTTTCCACATTGGTAAAAATGTCGTCTGTTAATTTCCAGATGTGTGTTTATTTTCTTATCCGTTATTTGTTTGTCATGTACATGTAGGTTGTGGCTCAACGTGTTGTAGATTTTCTACAGCTAGAGGACAATCGTGAACGCCCCATCTTTGTCCACTCCTTCAGCGTAGGCGGCTACCTCTACGCCGAGATCCTACAGAAGATGATCGCCGCGGAGAAAACCAAGGGGGAACTGACCGGTCGCGTGATCGGTCAGATCTACGACAGTGTCGTCGACCTGGACAAGGTAGCATTCGGCATCGCCAACGCACTCTTCTCCCAAAAGATGTTACAGAAGAGCGTTGAAAGGAGCATCGATGCGTACCTGGCTATGATGTACCGACCGGCGACGCAGCACTACACTCGAGCGTCCCGGCTCTTCTACCACAACCCCGTGAAAGCGCCCTCTCTGTTCTTCTATTCGTACGCCGACCCTGTAGGCAGCGCCACGGCGATAGAGAACTGTGTCAAGAACCTGCGTACCAAGATGGGTCATGACAAAATCTACACCAAGTCGTTCCAGAAGTCACGTCACGTCAGCCATATGCATAAGCACAAGGAGGAGTATTTTTGCTCTCTGTATAGTTTCTTTAGAGAAGTCCCGTACTTTGCAGACAAAGTAGATCTCGATGTAAGTGAGCAAATTGAGACGAAAGCCATCAAATCATAATGCTACAAATGTGCTTTCCATGTGGCAGGGTATCTATCCAAAAGCAAGTCTGTATGTTTAATGCTCATATTTGCAATGACGACCTTCGTCATTGCCTTGTTTTCGTTCACATTCTTCTTATTAATATTCTTACTTCTTCTTCCTCTTCTTCCTCTTCTTCTTCTTGTCGTCCGGAATCCCATTCGTTTTGCACGTAGTGCTTGTTATTCCTAGTTAGGTGCTTTCCTCATGTCCTTTTCCTTTCAAATTTCATAGGCATAGTCTCTAACATCTCATCAAGGTCACCTACTTCTTCGATTCTCGAAATCACTCATGCATAACCGTCCAGGCGCCATTTTGTCCGTTTCTGGTCCATTTTAAGGCCTTTCTTTCTTCCTTCCTATCTCCATTATCCTAGATCCTACACATTTCTAACAAATTCCTCTAGATAGTCTAAGAGATGTTCTTTTATCTGCGACGTATAACTTGACCTTCAAAATGCCATCTTCGTCCTCAAAATTCAAATCTGAAACCGACTCGGTCAAAAATCTTTAAAATTCTTGAAAAATTGACCCCTAAAAAATCTAAAACTGCCTTAACTTTCTCATATAAATTCCGTTTTATATTTAAATTTCACAGTATCTTTATCTGACAATTGCACATAGCCATGCCAAATTTCACGCTCCAATGGCTTTGCAAAATATAATTAGCGCCCTCTAAAGTTATGGGAATTGGCTTTCTTTCTGTGGCCGTATCTCCATTATGGCTTGGCAAACCCGTACCCTTTTTTGGATTTAGATACTTGAAGATATGCCCTTTCCAGCCATATACAAAATTATATACCCTATCACTGACCAAATTTGAGAAAATTGCCCTCCAAATTCGCCATTTTCAAGAAAATTGAGAAATAACTTCAACTTGCTCTAAAATGGCGATCGTTATACCTACATCAATGAAACTTTGCAGACATATGTATCCATATACGTGACAACTGTTTACCAAGTTTGGTAAAATTCGAATATGTCAGCGCAAAGTTATCGCCAAAAATGATGAATTTACTATGGATTACGTAATAGCGCGTTCAATGCGTGCAATACATTGCGCGCAGTTAACAATGGTGTCAAACTGACCGCACTGAAGTGCCCTTTCGGATGATACCAAGTATTATATATGTTCACACAGAAAATTGTGAGTAAATCGCATTTGAACAAAGATCACTACACGAATTCCGCCGAGTTTCCGCCCGAATCTAACACGTATCGGCAATGACGTCATTTTTTCAGACTGCTTTTCGCCCCTTAAACGTCCTTTTTTTTCCTTGAAAATTTGCAGTGACATGCCGAGTTCCAATACGCAGGGCACCTCTTGGCCGGATTTATAAAATTGGTCAATGGGGCCATTTAATACGCCATTTTGTCCTATAAATCTATTTTACATCACGTGTTTCGATAGGATTATCATAGAAAAAAAGAGAGTGGTTTACAATAAACACCATGAAATTCTCTTTCTAATGATACCAAATACGGCACATAAAGAGACATAAAGAGAGAGAGAAAAAACAATTTAACTCCGGTCATAATACAGATCCTGTACGTTTTCCGCTCATGCATTACACGCATTGTCTATGGGGCATATTGGGTTCACGCTTTTGACCCCCAGATCGATCTTTATTGTAATGACGAACATGCCCCAAATCCCCTTGGTTTTTGCACGCAGTGCTTGCGAGCCCTTTCTACGTCGTTTCCCATATCCCAATTTCTTTCAAACTTCGTAGGCATAGTCACTACCATCCCATCAAGGTCACTGTTGAGGCCTTTCTTTCGCCCTACCTATCTTCAATATCACAGAAGCTACAGACTTCGTACAAATTGCTCTGGATAGGGCGAGAGAAGCTCTTTCGTTTGACACGTAGAAACATGGCGTCATTGCACGCACATCGTTGTGACACGATTGCATTTCTAGTTTATTCCTCTTTTCATGTAACTTTAAACCCACGTACAGCCCTAGGCTATTCTATGCGAGTGTGTATGCATCCGTTAACTAGTCTACTCAACAAGATATTTTATTGTTCACTGAGAATGGGAGCTCACTTTTTTAGTACATCAAGAGCAAAATATATTTTTTAATTGGTAAACTTCAAGACAGGCATTTTTGTTTTATTACTTCTCCCATGATGCGTTAAAAAACAAAACAATTAAACGTCATCATTTCAAAGGTCATTTTTTGTGTCATTGTCGCCATTCATGTAAAAGTTGTCATTTTCATCTATTTTAGTAAATGTATATTTGGAATTTATTGAGGGTTCACATTGTTTTCATTCTTTCCTGCAATGGCCTTGTTATAGAAATCTGTGATTTAAAGCAGTATTATGTTTAGTGTTTTTATTTTGATACATGTCATAATGTGTACCGGTACAGTGTATGCACTTTGTTTTTTTCTCCGTATGTATCATGGGCATTATATGTGAGTATTATGAGCTTTTTATGACGTAATTATTTCCATGCTGAATTTGACCTGCCTTTAATATTATCAAACATTCCCTTTGAGTAATCTCAAAAAATAAAGTTAACAGCTGAATTCTTCATACCTCTTTTAAATTATTTTTTTATTTCTTTTTTGAGAGTTTTTTTCGTAACTCAACTTTTTTCCTGTAATAAGTTGAGTACTGTAATCAAATTACAATTACCGTAACATTTATTATGTGCACACTGCACATACATATGAATATAAAAGGCGCCTATTGCGTAAAATATATATTTTTGCTCATGAATATGAAGCATTACAATTAAGTACAATTTTACTTTGATATTATGTTCTCTTCACAATGTGTTCTGACTCGTTAATGTCTTTTCAATGACTTCTCTCATAATATGTGGTTACAAAATATGGTTACCTGACGTACACTCCGGCGACAACTTTCCCCGGTCTTTATTTCATTAGTTAGGTTTAGAGTACCGATACCTATCAACAGTATTGCATTTAAAGCCCCACTGTCCTACTTGTAGCTACTTGCTCCCTCTATATAAAAAACTTCCCCAATCGGTGCCTGTTGGTCCCCCATGATCCTCCTTTTCTTATGTAAGTTGAGAGCTGAGTTAATGAGATAGCCACCTGTCAGTGACCTCGCTGTGTGGTCTAATCCCTTCTGGCCCCGTAGTATCGAGAGCCTTTAACTTAAGCCATAACCCTGTAAAAGGTCAGTTATTTTGGTGCTCTCTCTCTCAGCCCCCCGTGATCTTGGCCATAGAATGATGAAAAAGAATTTAGTCAGTGTAGAATATTGACCAGAGTAATTGCCGCTCGAGTATATATGTTTAGTACTGTATGTGTCATGAAATAGCATTGATTATGTGCTCCTTGCCTCTCTGATTTTTTTTTTTTAAGCCCTTTTATAAGTAATTTTTTGCTAAAAAAAATACATGTATTACACAGATTACATGATTGAAGAAATTAACAAAATATTTTGGATATAATACATGTTTTTGAATCATTTTGTACTCAGTTAACATAATTTTCTTCAGAATGTTGTTAATCTTGCAAACTTTCTCTTTACGAGTAATTTCAAATTATCTGTTTGGGTTTCGAATTACTTGAAACATGCACTATATAAATTGCATATTTAGTGAACAATAAGATATAAAGAAGAATCATACTTTTGTTATCAAAGTCATATCCAGAAACTAAAATACTTTTTTAGTAATACTGATATACAAATCATAAACAGTATAGAATAAACCTGGCCTCCTTATAATATATGTATATGTGTGTGTTTGACATGATGTTGAAAACTTGTCTCCTTAAGCATTGCTATACATGTATGATGTAGTAAGACCTACTGTATACATATTACAAAGCATCTAAAAATTATGGATCAGTTAAAACAGTATTTTGTCTCAAAATATGGACTCAAATGAAAGTTTGTATGGTGTTTTGTGAATTAACTGTTATGATGCAAAGCTTTGGTATTAATCAGTGCAATGTTAATTGATGTCTATCTTTAGTGCATAGGAGTAACTGTGTCATGTCAGTGAATGCACAAATCTGCATTCATAGCAAATAAGGTGTTACTTGTTGTAAATTGATACTAATGTATACATTGTAGTGTACCTTTACATGTTATAGTAGGTGTGATAAACTAAGTGCACTGTAATGTATCTTTAAAATGGTGATTTTACACCTTTGATTTTATTATCTTTTCAAATTTGCCAAAACGTGATGCACACTCACTATGAACATGACGGACAGAGAAAGCGGACAAAATATACAGTTCCTCAGGTAGACAAAGGAACATCCCTTCACTGCTATTATGTAAAAATGTGTATAACAGGTGAATATGCATGTGACACCTGTTCTACACAATTTTACATAATAGCAGTGAAGGGATGTTCCTTTGTCTACCTGAGGAACTGTATATTTTGTCTGCTTTCTTTGTCCGTCATATTCATAGTGACTATTAATAATAACTCATGATATGATTGCAGTGCCAGTAGGGAGAACTGATGATGAGGCTACCCAGGATAAACAAGACATATCATTATCAGTATTATTATTAATATCACACTGCATATATTTTGTTGTATTACTGCTGCTGCATACATCAAACAAGGCCTTGTGACTGATAGGGGATCAGTTTGAAAGATAATTTGTCAAAGATTACAGAGGCATTGTGTGTACATTATCTTAAGTTAGTACATGCTAGGAGGGTAGTAACTCCTTGGTACTTGGTTATACAGTAATTCTGTTCGAGGGTAGGTTTTGGGGGAAATTGATTTGGTGCTTATTGACTATATGTAAAGGCATCTACATGTATGTGTATTTGTTTCATGGCTTTGCAATAAGTGATGTATCACTCAAAACAAAATATTTAATAATTTCCAGGAAAAAAAGTACCTGGACATTATGCCTTTCTTCATTTTGGAGATGACATAATAGTCTACATATGTACATGGACATACTTACACATGCAAGTATAGTTTTGAAAGTGAAGTTCATATTCATTGTTTAATTGGTTTTAATGAAGGCAGTCAGGCAGATCGATGTAAGATTGAGCAATATCTGATTTAAAATATACATGCATACATAGTTCTTAATGTTTGAAGTTGCAATCGATCAAACAATTATTGGCAACTCTATGAAATATCTTGAGAGGTCCTTTTTCCCATTTCTTTCATGTATAATTTGTACTCATTGCAAATATTTCAGCCCCTGTATGAAACAAATCTATTCGTTCATCATAAAGTAAGAAGATAGAAATCAGTAGAAAACGAATGAGAGAGGACCTTGAAAGATATATGTCAGAGCTGCCCATTTGTGTTTCAAAGACTACACCACTTCCCTATTGTGTATTGGACTTTGCTCAAAATTTCCATGCCGGCTGTTTCTCTGTTTCTTTTTGCTTCTACTAAACCAACTTTATATCAGGGTTAATTTTGATCCATTCTTCAATGTTATGCAGGCTTCTAATATGAAATACTGTACTTATAACGTTTTAAATGTAAGCATTTTAGTGCAATGCTGATACTCGTGCTGTAAGCAATGGCTGCGAAGATATGGTACTAACTGTGTTAACTGATGATTGTTGGAAACAAAGAAGGCCTGAAAGGCATTTGTACCCAAATATTTTTGCTTGATTGTTTTTTTGTATTGTTAAGGTTTGATCAGATGTAAAGCAGTAGACCTCCCACCAAAAAAAAAAAAAAAAAAAAAAAACGGCACGATTTGTTTGTGGACTACACTGGAAAACCAGATACATTAGGATTACCCATCTATGCAATAGCTTTGTGTAGGTAGGAGACTTTATGCTACTCCCAACAGCATTTGAAAGATGATACTAATTTAGAACTTCCCTAAAAAAAGGGGGCTTGAAAATGTCTTTAGGTGGGAAAATAATTACTACCTTAGTCGTTGAATCAACTTGAGAGCTATAGAGCCAGTAAGTAATAGTCTGATTTTCAGACCATTGTACTGAATGGTCGTACGTTTTATGCTGCGCAAAGATTCAATCAGTTTAATCGTGGCCATCACAAGAAGTGGGTTATTGATGTAGACAAATGGTCATGTACCCTTTACAGCTCATTTTATGGATGTTATTACCAAAGAAGAAAAAAGGCCAGTCAGTCACTCAATAGTGTCTGACAGTGAAGTCTAGCAAGTAAACAGGTTTCCTTGCATAGTTTCAATATTAGGACACTGCTAACGTTTAAATTTGACAGATAGGACATACATGACATATTCATAATTCCTGCAAAGTTCTACAGAATTTGATGATGGCTGCAAAAGGGACATAGTATCTTTAAGCCTTGTTTCAGATATGATATGACGGTTATTCGGTTAATAATAATAATAATAGTGGGTTCTTGTGTAGCGCTCATAATACACTTCTCATTTCTGTATCTTACAACACAGAGCTCAGTGAATCTGTGCAGGACCTTGGTTGCGCACAGTTGCCATTCATTTTAAAGGTAAAGACCAGTTATGGTCATGCGATTGCATTGTGAAAGAAACGTTGTGGAATCAATCGGAAAAGGTTGATCATCTAGCATCTAGCATCTGCAAGGTTCTGGAATCATCAAAATGATAAGAAATTTGGCCCATTCTTCGTAAAGTTACAAGCACTATACACAGAAAGATGTTTATGGGACTACCCTATATCTCTCACAGACCATGAGAGAAACAAATTTACCAAATATATGAATTAGTAGGCGGTTTCCCGGCAAATTTTTTATCATGTATTAGTCAAAACATATTCTTTCACATGATTGGTAATGAGAGCTTCCATTTCATTTTTTGAAATTGGGGCGCTTCCAATACTGGTCTTTACCTTTAATACTTGTAAACAAATCGTGCTGTTTTTCAAAGAATTTGGAAGAAAAATAGAAATTTTACTTGACCATACTGGCATCTAAACACAAGTAATAATATTAATGAAAACAATACTATGGAACACCTGCCTGAATAGAGCACACACTTTACACTGACTTAATTTTCATTAACAAAAGGATGTAAATAATTTTATTGGTGGAATGCAAAGAAAACTGCAACAAACAGAAATGTACAACTATTTCACATAGTTACAACACAGCCGACATCAAAGTATGAGAAAAACTACACACGACAGGAGAAGAAAAATTAGGTTACCACCTGAGCATTGTTTCACAAAACTGTGATGAGTATAAGTTCACTGACATCCCCTTGCAACACATGTTGAATTGAATACATTTCAATGGGTTATCGGCGAATTTGTACTTGTGATGCGTTTGTGAAAATCTGCCCTGGTATTTTGCAATGGTCAAACGAATGTGTCCTATTTCAAAGTGCCACTATAACAAGTACAAATAACAGCATTTGTATTATTATTATTAATATCATAAGGTACTGCACAAATAACAAAAACAAAAATGCATGATTTTCAAGTTCCAGGGATGCCAGTTAAAATTGATCAGAGGGTCTGAAAATCACCTAGAATGAGCTATTTTTTCATAAAAAAGCCTAAACTATGGTCTCAAAATAACTCGCCAGAATTCAGGCTATTGTCTAAAAACTGGCATCCCTGAAGTTCATTTGAATTTCTCAAACAAATATGACGAGTACAAAATTGGGATTAGCATGTAAAAACGGTAAAGGTAAAAGCACGCTAATAAGTCATGGGATTTATTTATTTTATCCCTGCCTTTAATACCTAAAACCTTTGTCAAAGCATGGCTCAGTACCAAACAATACTTCTCAGTAATCTAAGGTCATTTACACATCAGCTGATAATACACACTTGTAAACAGAGTCCTGGGACCCGTTACACAAAGCCTTTTTTCAATAAAAACCAGTGACAAATCTGCTGATAACCAATCAGAAGCAAGGGTTTCTATAGCTTACAACAAAAACTGTCATTGGTAACTGATGACAAGTTTTGTGAAACGGGGCCCTGATCATGCCTTAACTATAATTTTCAGTTACATACATATTTACCAAGTGTCAATAAGTCGGCAAATGAATCAAACTTTTCCCCTTATCTCAACATCACTCTACTCATCCCCGTCTTGGGCACACAGAGATTCCCTGAAAGTTTGCCTCACTGCCAACAATATTAATCAGTAGTCAAAGGCCATCACCTGATTACCACGTGTGTATACAAAGTACTGATAAGGATACAGATAGCAGGAAATCCAAAGGCCATACCGGTAAACGTTTTTCTTTTCTTCAAAGGTCCTATTCAACCCCTCTGATATTTCACATGGTCACAAAAGCAGTCAATTCTGTTACAAAGTTGTTTATAAGTACAAGGTAAAACATCCATTATTACACTCAGAAACAGAAAAGTCTGTATTCAGTTAATTCATTTAAACCCAACCCTGGGTTGATAGGCCCTAAATTTTTATTTAGGGAAATAAGTGTTCAATTAAAAATTAAAAAAATAATAATGAGAGGGGGGAGAAGGAGGGGGAAAGATTTTTCCAAGCCGTGTTGCACCTTAATTTTAAAGCCGTTTGCCAAATTTGCATAAGATTCAAGCCACGCATAACGATAAAAACACAACTGACATAACACTGCATTTGCATTAATCACGGAAGTATCTTTGTGAAGTTTCTGGTCGAGCAGTATACTTGAGTGATGTTTGGATTATGGGTGTATTTTCTGGGAGACCGGTATCCGAGGCACAGAGTGAATAAATAGATGCTATGTTGACAAAACAAATGAGGGGTTTGAAGCTCGGATGAGACATCCTCATGTATCCATTTCCTCATCATTATCTGTGAAGCAAAATAGAAGTAAGATAAAATAATGAAAATCAATTATCATCAATTCATCATCATGGTAATGGCCATCTTCATCATCCCCATCAAAAATATAAATATTAAATTTCATTATAATTATTATCAATTCTTTTATATAACTATCATTGGTACACGTGTAGTATTATTATCTATCATTTCGTTGCACATCATCATCAAGATCCTCCTATTCATCATCATGTTCATCCTTATTTACATTCACCTTCGTCCACATCTCGCATAAATCTAATAGAATCTCATCTGCTCTTACATCAATCTCGTTGAACATGAAATTTTGTTGGTATTCTTTTATCATCACCATCACCATCACCATTATCATCATAACCATTATCATCATGACCATCATCATCACCACCATCACCATCACCATTATCATCATAACCATTATCATCATGACCATCATCATCACCATTATCATCATAACCATTATCATCATGACCATCATCATCACCACCATCACCATCACCATTATCATCATAACCATTATCATCATGACCATCATCATCACCATTATCATCATAACCATTATCATCATGACCATCATCATCACCACCATCACCATCACCATTATCATCATAACCATTATCATCATGACCATCATCATCACCACCATCACCATCACCATTATCATCATAACCATTATCATCATGACCATCATCATCACCATTATCATCATAACCATTATCATCATGACCATCATCATCACCACCATCACCATCACCATTATCATCATAACCATTATCATCATGACCATCATCATCACCACCATCACCATCACCATTATCATCATAACCATTATCATCATGACCATCATCATCACCATTATCATCATAACCATTATCATCATGACCATCATCATCACCACCATCACCATCACCATTATCATCATAACCATTATCATCATGACCATCATCATCACCAGCATCACCATCACCATTATCATCATAACCATTATCATCATGACCATCATCATCACCATTATCATCATAACCATTATCATCATGACCATCATCATCACCACCATCACCATCACCATTATCATCATAACCATTATCATCATCACCATCATCATCACCACCATCACCATCACCATTATCATCATAACCATTATCATCATGACCATCATCATCACCATCGTCAACATCATCGTCACCATCATCATCATCACCACCACTGTCATCCTCATCTTTATCATCAACACATTCATCCCCATCTGAATTCACCTACATCCACCTCTGAGCTAAATCACAGTGAATCTTATCTCCTGCTGGAACATGAAATCTTGATGGTAATCTTTATCATCATCACTATCATCAATTTATATCACCATCCTCATAATCATCACCATAACCATCATCATCGTCATTAACATCATCACCACCATCATCATCCTCACCCTCGTCATCATCATTATCATCATCTTCACCTGCGTGCACATCTAACCCAAGTATTACCTCCTGCCGGGTCCACCTCGTTGAACATAAAATCTTGCTGGTATTCTTTCAAGAACTGCGTTGATCTTGATTCATCCAAGAAGAGAGAATACACGCGCCTGATATCATCTACTTCTACCTCCGTACCCTGCGACACCAAACAGAACAGAAAAGTGAATAGAATTTAGATTTATCTGTGCATAGAGGCTCAGTTTACTTGAATTATGATATTTTCATATTTACAAAAGATGAATGGAGGTGTAATGGTATAGTAGCTCATTCACTGCATAACACACAACAATGGAATCATCCCATGTACGCGGTATTGGCGAGCCAAAGATTTCATCAATGTTAGTCACTAAATAGTTAAATACACACTATTTTAAAGCCTATCAGTACTAGTGTACAGGAGGGATTAGACCACACGGCATGGTCACTGACGGTGGTTATCTCATCAAATCAGCTCTCAAATAACATAGGGGGACCAATTAGGCATTGTTTGTTACGTAGTAGGTGCAAGTAGCTACAAAAAATGCAGTCCCGCTTTAAAGAGTAGAAGAAAAATTACCTTTCTTTTCCTAGAGACTAGGTTCGCTGCTAAGATTGTTTCTAAGGTGTCGTGGTGCTAATCAAGAATGGAATTGGTTGATTTTGGAAGGCCATTTTGTTGCACAAAGTAATCATTCCTTGATTTGTGCCTATTATTCGTCCGAAATGTTTGCACATATGGCAAAAGAGCAACTGTTAAATGAGTAGAAGAATTACCTTTCTTTTCCTGGAGACAAGGTTTGCTGCTGTGATGAGCTGAATGGCGTATCTCAATGATGTCTCTAAACCAATCCTCGTCAGGACCGTCAGCGCATCATCAGTCATCTCAACATCTTCCTCCTCACATCTGAGAAATTAAACAATTAATAATAATAATAATTAGTGGCATTTCTATAGCGCCGTCTAACTAGAAATTCTATTCCGAGGCGCCTTAATTATTACCCCGGCTTTAGCCTAGCTGACATTAGAGATTGACCAAACAAAATTTTCACTTGAAACAATGAAAAATATCAATTAGTAACGACAAATAATAATAACAGTGATAATAACATCTAGCAATAAGTACACTCTACAAAGTACAACTCTATCATGGCATTTACAAATAGATCATACATAATGTTGAACTAAAGTTTAAACTGAAGATAAGTACAAAGATTGTAAGGAAAGAAAAGGGGATTCATTAAAAGAGATTTTCAAGGATTTCTGAAATTAATCTGTGGAATTATCTCCTATAATTGTCTCCACACCCATGTTAATTCATACAGTGCTTCCTAGTTCTTACCAACAGGAGTTTCTTACCTGATGTTCAAGATTTGCTTCAACTCCTTCTCATTGTAGGTTGATGTGGAGATGATGAGTAGCCTGTCCAACAAGTCTAGAGGGATTCCGTGAGGACTCTGGTAGCTGGTGCCTCGAATTCTATTGGAAAAAGAGATATTTAATATTAATATTGGATGGCCTTGATGTGAATACAAGGAAATATTAGACGAAACATGCCAACAAAATAAGATGAATCAGAGACAAAATCCAATATTTTTTGCAAATCGAGTTTAATATTCCCTTGGCAGAATAACACCAACCAATGTTCTTGTTACTATTCCAAAATGAAATATTATAATTTTGAGAAAAAAATTCACGTTCTACAAAACCTTTTTACGCCACGTGTTCGTGTAGTCCCATATACATCTTTCTGTGCAAGTGTTTGTAACATTACCAAGACTTGGCCAAATTTCTTATCATTTTGATGATTCCAGAACCTTGCAATACACACAAATTCTTATATGCTAGATGATCAACCTTTTCTGGTCGGTTCCACACCGTTTCTTTAACAATGCAATTGCATGACCAGAACTCAACTTTATCTTTAATATCTATGGGTGTATCCATTGTCTAGCCTTGCATGTTGGAAGACGTCTCCATTGCTAACACAAACTCAAAAGGCCACGAGTCCATTAACTTTAATATCATGCTCCCTTGACAGAGAATAATGGTCAGGTTCAACAAATCTTTATGACAGGCACATGTAATCCACACAAAGTACACATACATGTTCATGTAGCATGAGTCAAGACTGTTCAAAATAGGCAATTTTCGCAATGAACCAAATTTATGCATACCGTATTTGCCGGCGGTAAGGCCGCAGCGCCGTATAGGCCGCACCCCCGATTTTGACTTTAAAAACAAATATTAAAAAAAAGTGTCGAAGTCGGGATTTGATCTCTTGCTTACAAATGTTGATGTGACTAAAATCACCGCCTAAGACCGCTCGGAAAAAAAAAAGGAAAAAGAATTATTTTTGTCGAAGTCGGGATCCGATCTCTTGCGTTCAGATGTTGATGTGACTAAAATCAGCGCCTTAGACCGCTCGGCCATGCCACTCTGATGCTAGCATATGAAGTTTTCTGTGATGTATACATTGCCCCTCTCTCTTGTGTATTGAAATGGATTCAAAATAGCGACTTCGCGTGCTAGATGCTTCGCGGCAGCTCCGTTAAACGGGCCCTTCTTTTACTTTTGCAATGCATCGGCACGAACTTATATCAAGATCTATCGGCAGATGTTGTTTTTGGAAGTTTATTTTCGTCTTTATGTCAACAATGCAAGATAAAATTGTTGGTAAGATGTGTAGAAATGTATAGTTATTGTACCGTTCGTAGGTCTAGTCCCATATGTGCAAATTCGTGCTGGTTTTGACTTTTTTTTTTTTTTTTTTTTTACTCTTTCGCCGCATAGGCCGCACCCCGACTTTTTGATATTTTCTCTTCCAAACATACTGCGGCCTTTACACCGGCAAATACGGTACGCCTTTGTGAAGTGCCTCGACACGAATGATCTCATTCACCTTTTTAATTTATGAATGCTAGTATGCAGTTGTGAGTCGGTCAAAGGAGGTGCACACCATCTTATTCTTTGTTTGATTGATAATTTGTTTGATCTCATGTTTGACCTTATGTTTGATCTCATTTTTAATTTTTTTATTATATATGCATGATTTATTGAATAAAGAACATATTTATATTTTTTGTGTTTATTACAAGTTTTAGTTGGTAATTTTAATTCAGACAATAGTGCGCTTAGAAACACCTGTATTAAGCGCCTAATAAATGTTATATATTATTATTATTATTATTACAAATAAATGTATCTCAAAGTCAGAATTCAAATTGCATGCATTACTTGTTGCTAGGTAGGGTGTAAACATTATGGCTTTAATTACCTAACAACACGTTATATATGCAGTTGCATTCTGACTACAAGTATTTGTTTGTAAACGGGTGAATGAAATAATTTGTATCGAGGCACTGAAGTGTGAATTCGGTTAGATTATGGAATGGCCTATTATCATTTGTAGGGCGCGGTCAGACCCACCTTGTAATGCCTCTGTTAGTAGCCATGATGAGGACCGGGGCCATGTCATCTTCTAGAGCTCGGTTCAAGAATGAGAAGCTTTCAATGTCCAGCATGTGAACCTCATCAATGAATAGAACCTGAAGATAAAGAGGATATGTGTTAGACACAAATGCTTTCAAAGTCAATGTGTTGGAATTGCAAATGAAGGAGGCATAATGGCGTAGTGGCGGAGCAGAAGTCTTGGGTTCGAAACAAGTCAAAGGGCTAGTGTCCTTTGGTAAGGCATTCATCCTCATAACCAAGTCTCAAAGAGAGGACTTAAAGCCGTCAGTCGCCTGGTTGCTTACTTACAAGCACATGCTTTCTTAGCAGTCAGGTAAACAAACAAACAACAAACATAAAACAAATATGCTCTAAAAAAAAATTCTGAACTGGGGAGGTGTCAGGGCTTGAAAATTGGCATCCCTGAATTTTTCAGTATGAAAAGAGCGTTTAAATGGAAACAAGAAAAGTGATCTTTACATGCAGGTGGTCCTATTCTTCCTTTACATGACTTTATGCCCTTTTCCATGACTAGATAAGTACTATTTTGGTATGGGTTCAGGGTTCTTGTTAATTTTTCTGATAGCAGGCTATTTATGATTTACAGGAGGCTACTAAAATTGCAAAAGAAAAATCTCTGTGCGCGTAGCGCACATCACCATGTGCGCGAAGCGCACATCACGAGCGCGAAGCGCGAAGTCCCTTGCGGCCGGGGTCCAGGGCCCGCCCAAGGGCCCTGGAAGCTTTAGGGTTTTAGATGCTCTCTGGTGCTATCTTAGCCTTATTTTTGAAGATATGACCACACTGTATGAGCCATAGTTTAATGATAAAGATCATGAATATTTTGGCTGAATAACTTACTTTTCATATGATATACAATATGAAATGAAAATGCTCCATTATTGTTTCTGATAAATCAATCATATTTGTGAAAGCGTGTCTTCGTGAAGCTTGTGATAACAGAAATTTGAGATAGCGACTTGACCGAATATTAGGCCTGAGTCAAACTGTTTAACCGCATTCATCAAAACCGTTTAGCATTTCTCGCTCCGGTTAACCGTTATTTGCATACATTTTGGAATGTGCTAATAGCCGATGATAAAGATAATCAAAGAAACCGCAGTGTAATGTTACACCCTGGCCGCTGCGCGCCAGCTTTCTGGCAGCAGTAATCCCCATGAATGAATTTGTAAACAATAAAACAACCAGCCCCCTTCTCTCTTTTCTCACCCTCTTTATTCCCTTCTCTCTGCAATGTGTTCATCGCTCATGTACCTTTTCTTATCACTGCACTCTCAGCTCACAACTTTCTAAATGTTTACATCACATTCGATGGTCAGTTTTTCTCATACCCTTCTCCCCCGAGTCTCTCTCTCTCTCTCTCTCTCTCTCTCAATATTAATATCCATCCCTTGCCGACTCGCCCCCTAAAATAATGTTCATATATAAATAAAATACAAAAATATTGATAACAATAATAATTGAAGTTTTAGAAATATCAATCAACAAAGTCTTGGATATTGTGAGTAATTTAAGTTTTTGATCATTCTTCAATTCAGCCGATTAACACAACCACCCTTTCTATCTAGTCTCACTTGTTTTACTTCTTTACTCTCTCGTGTCCCTGCCTCGTCCATGCAGGGACATGCAGGGACATGCTAGCCCATGCATGCTCTCTCAGTCACACACACATGTACACACAAACCTCCGGCGCCCGAATACACTGTACATACACACAGATGGAGAGCTCATGCTTGTCACATGCACACATGTGGGCGTGGCTTCTTGACCTCCCACTGAACTGGGTACGGTGAAAGCACGCGCGGTCACCAACCTGTAATTTATGCTGGTATCAAACTCCACCCACATAGCTACAGAACCTTCCTGATTGGTCACTAACTTGGATCAGCTCATTGCAGGGTGTGTCTTGGGTGTGTGTGATACACACTTCCACATAATTTCATATGGCAATGATACATGCAGGGAGCTCTCTCCCTGACCATGTGCAAACATTGCATTGCAAGGGCATATATAAACACGTCACAGATCAGCTATCTTCACAGAGTAACTTTGCAAGGTTAATCATGATATCAAATTCAGATGAGGAATAATAAGACATGTTTTATGTTGTTTATTACTGGTCTCTGTTTATCAGGATGACCCAATTTGTGCCATAGTCCGGGGCTGGGAATGCTCAGCCCGACAGTCTGAAGACCAGCAGGGTTCCGAGCTACAGCACTATTACAAATACTGTATTTTCACTTTTTCAGATACTTTTAACGATTAACCGTTTAGCACAAAAACCGTAATGACTCAGGCTTACCGAATATGATGTGATTTTTGTATTATTATTTTTTTTTTTTGGAGAGGCTTACAGCCGGCTACGATTGCCGTTACAGCCGGAAAAAATAGCCGGTTGCCGGCTATTAACAAGAACCCTGTGGGTTGCAGCATCCAAGCAGCGTACCAACACCACCCCCATTGTCAGTTCAAACTGGAATGCTGCCATGGCCACACACGGCCCACACCTACGATCAATTTCAATGACTTTCCATTACTTTGGGAATTTTCCTTCAATTTCCATGACTCTCCATAGAATTCATTTTTCCATGACCTTGGGAACCCAGATTCTTACATGAGACAACAAGTATTGTCTTTCTATAAATCTGGTTGCATCTAATCAGATTTAACTCTGCATTATTCTTTCCAAGCTAACTGGTGACAAACTATTATATTTGACAGCGAGTAGGTTTGTCTTGCAATCCTTTTTGCTATTTATGTTGAGCGTTGGCCAATCATAGGCCGACCTTTACATTGAGAGACCAGTATCACAATTTATGCAAATTGGATGCTTATCTTCACAAGATGACCCCCTCCCCAATGTGATAAGGCAAGACAGTACAGCAAGTTTTTAGGGGGGCTAGTCTCCTGCCCTCACAGTGTGGACAAAATACATTTAAAAAAGCTACAAATAATTTCCCTTTTCTATCAATTTCAACAACAAATCCTGGAAGATATATATTTAGAGGAATTCCCTCCTGGACCGATGTCGGCCTTCTTTTAAAAAACGAACCCCAAACCAAAACAAAATAGCAAGATGTAACAACTTCTTGTCTGCTTTGTTTTTGTCTTCTATATTTTATTCTTTGCCATGTGGTCTTACCCCCTCAAAGCATAGAGTCAACGCTAATGCATATTGACCTCTAGCGCTGTAATACGTGCAGAGAGGCATTGTATTTTACTGGTATTTAGGTGTCATCAATTGTCACTACAGTAAGTGAACTCGGTCGAGTTTTGTACAATGGTGTTTGAAATGTTGAGAATCAATAGAGGTCGACTAAACAGTTTTTAATACACAAAAAGTATACTAATGCTGGGGGGCGTTTCACAAAGATCCTAAGTCAAACTTAACTCTAAGTTGGACTTAAACATTATGGAGAGCCATTTGTAGCCATTAAATAAAAAATATTTAAAAGCGAAAATTTAAGTATTTTGACCTATTTATAAATTCCACATCAAGAACATGAATTCTCCATGATAATAGAAAATATCAGTGATTAGAATAAACATTTCATGCTTTTTAAAATAAATTTTACAAAATATTTTCATAGATGCTAACGGCTTTCCATAATGGTTGAGTCCAACTTTGAGATAAGTTCAACTTAGGATCTTTGTGAAACACCCCCTGCTATGTGTGGTCTTTCTTACCCCTGGTACAATGTCTGCCTTTCCTTCCTCCCTCCACTCAGCCACCTTGGCGTTGATCTGCTCTCGCACCTCCGGCTTGATCTCACCGGTGTCTCCTGCAACCAAACATCAGAACATACTGGCAATAATAATAATAGCTCACATTTATAATGCCCCTAATACTTTGTTTCTAGGCGCAGCTCATATTGTTACCCCGGTCATCGGATTCAGGCTTGCCCGCAACACAATGAATGCATATTTTCCACTCCCTGGGGAGCATTCCAGCCAGTCGCCATTTTACAAGTGCCACTTGCTAATCCAACCACATTAACTTTTGCATCCTACCGGGTACCCATTCAACACCTGGGTGGAGAGTGGCAACTGTAGATCAATGTCTTGCCAAAGGACATTAGTGCCGCGGCGGAAATTGAACCGCGGACCTTGTTATTCATAGTCCGGTGACATATCCACTCGACCACGACACCTTTAAAATCGACAATCAAAAGATAAATGTAGCACTGGACTGAATCTTTATCTTCCACGTGGTTCTCATATGATCTGAGACTTATCCACCTCTGGACATAGTGCTAAATAGTTGTAAGTAAAATAAGGAAAGGGCCTTCATGTAATAGAATATCACTTCAGCCGCCTATCTGAGCCTAGGTGTAGCATAATAATAATAATAATAATATTCTGCTTTTATATAGCTCCCAATACATTGATACAATGAATTGTCTAAGCGCTTTCCAGATATATTAGTACCCCGGTCACTGATTCATGCTTACCGTACAGGTTGTCATATAACTCCATCAATAAAATGAAATGGGCTGTACACTCGGCCCATATCAGGGCAGAGCTTTGGAGTCTTGTACAGTTAAAGGCTAAGTGTGAACAGACCCTTGTTAGCCTGATGTGAACGTACCTGAGAAGAGAGCAAGGAACCCCTGTGTACGGCTATTGATAACGTCTATCTCATGTAACGTCACCGTGTGGACGACTTCTTTCCTCTTCTGAAGCTCACCTTCGGGGCACTGAACAAACTTAGTCTGAAAGGAGACATATCAAGACACACACATCAAGGTTTGCGTTAAAGCCCGTCTGTACTAGTTTGGCCAGGAGGGATTAGACCACCCTGCATGGTCATTGACAGGTGGTTATCTCATCAACTTAGCTCTCAATTACCATAAGAAAAAGAGGATCATGGGGGTCCAACGGGCACCGCTTAGGCATTGTTTTCTATATAGAGGGTGCAAGTAAGTAGCTACAAGTAGTAGAGTGGGGCTTTAATATATCTGTATTTGCACAAATGGTGAGAATTTAATTGAAGAATACAAGAAGTAGTAAAAAGGTGTATTTTGGTGATGTCCTCAAACATCAAAATAAGCGCTGATTAGAGAAAAAAGGAATATTCTTCAGTTTCGTATTTAAATGGCATGCCAATCCCCCCATATAATGTCTGCATCCAACCGGGCACCCATTTAAAACCTGGGTGGAGAGTGCCAAATGTTGATTAATGTCTTGCCGAAAGTGGGACTCGAAACCGCTTACCATGTGATCCACGGTTTGGTGACTTATCCACTACACGACAACACCTCTACATATCCAGTCTTTGTCCCACTGGGTTTTAAAGTTTTGTATAAATGATCTATATCTGCTTGAGGTTCTTACCTGTGGTCCCATAGCATCGTAGTCCCTGGCTCTTGTGAATGACCTTCCAAGCTTATTGATCTTGCCTGTAGCCTTGTCTATCGTGATGATGTCACTGAATGGAAAAAAATGATTACATATATAAACAGGTCTCAACATTTTTGTTTTGGGGGTACAAAATCTGAAGGGAACTTTCAAGAAAGAGCTCCAGTGTGTATGCACATGAAATACATAAATGTACAGAATTGCTGTTTTGAATATGAAATATTTATGTATTATGTAAGAAACAAGCAACAAGTATGTGAACACAAATCTTATTTTAATTGATGAATTGGTCCATGACACAGTCACAATAAACTGGAAACAAATTCCTCAGCTCTTCTAATTCTGACTTATCAATATTCACCAGTCCGCCATTACAACATAGGGCTAGCTTTGAATGTTCTGGGAGTGCTGGGAGTAATTCAAGTTTATAAAGAAATTGTGGCTTGCATCCAGTAAATAGAGATCATGTGCTTGTTCATGTAACTCAAAACAAGTCAGAAAAAGTCTTGAAATTTGAAGCCGCAATCAACTGCTTGCTGGGCAGCGACTCTAACCCCAGGCCATCACTGGTCCATGGCACAGTCACAATGAACTGGAAACAAATTCCTCAGCTCTTCTTATTCTGAAGTATCAATATTCACCAGTTCACCATTACAACATAGGGCTAGCTTTGAATGCTGGGTTCTCTGGGAGTAATTTCAATTTGTGAAAGACTTTTGGCTTGCACCCATTAAATAAAGATCAGATGCTCATTCTTGAAATTCATAAAGAAATGTTTCTCACCCTGCTTGGACCTTCTCCTTTGTGAGAGATTCAATCATCTTTGTTCCGAGGTCATAAACCGTTTCCATCTCGGTCGTCTTTAGAGTCAGCTTCCCAACCTTGGCACCCTATGAGCAGTAAACACACAATAATGGAATCATCTCATGTACGCGGTATTGGCGAGCCAAAGATTTCATCAATTTTTTAGTCACTGAATAGTTAAATATACACTATTATAAATGGAAATTAATTTGTTTTGTTTGTTTGATTTGTTTTTATCAAAGGGGAGAAACAAGTAAAAGATGATTCAATTCATCATACCTTACATATCTAACATTACGCTTATCCAAACTCTTAATTTCAAGTATTTAGTAGCTTCCGACATCTTATCACATAGAGGAATCCAAATCATTGTTATAAAAAAGGGGCTTTGCCTCCGACGAGAAATGAACACCAAGATATAACAATGCCCCAACAAACACGGGGGATGTCCCAAAATATATGTAACACTTCATATTTCCATATCTGAACGAGCCTTAAATGGGAGGGTATACTTACTGTTCCAGTAGCTGGTCTATCGATTTGGATCTCCACCACTTCTCCCTCAATGATTTCAGTCTCCTCTCTAGAAAGAGATAATCACAAAGAATTTGAGAACATCTCTATCTCACTATTCAAAACCAAGAAGATAAAATTTACAGCATTTTTCTACATGAAACCCAGAAAATAATGGTAATGTGTTTCCGGAAAGACCAGACTGCACAAGAAAATAAACGTAATTCTTCCAGTCTGTCTCTACAGAAGTTTAGAAGTGGACTTCCACAGGTATAGAAGATGTCTGAGAAGTGGGAAATGCATGCAGTAATGCATTGTGTAACATCACCTATTGAACGCTAAACTACAGGGCCCCATTTCACAAAAATTGTGATCACCAAGGAATAGACCCCTTTCAGAAAAGGCCCGAGATTCACAACGGATACGAATAGAGACTGTTGGACCTACTTGATTCTGATTCCGATAGATCTTCTGAAAGCCTGAGTGAGAGCCTCTGTCTTACTCATCTCTAGCGAGAAGATCTCACTGCCGGCTATAGCTGTGAAGGGTGTGTCTTGACCAAGGGCTTGAGCCATACCTGCGACAGTCAGTGGAAAATATAGACATACATTTAACAACCAAATTATTTATAACGTTACCGTGTTTTGTAAATTGAAAAGAGAACAAAATGTTGTCGCCGGAATGTTTGTCCTACAAACATACACATCCTTATATTCAACCCTAAAAGCAAAAGATGACCGTGGTTATAATATATATCTGTAACGCGCTTTGAGAGAGCGCTTTGAGAAAACACCTATATAACAAATTATCATTATTATTATCAAAAGCTTTCATGACTTTATCACCTTCAGTCTTACACATCTCTTCATACTAAAGTTATACAATTTTGATCAACAGGTACAGCGCAGCATCAAAAATCGCTGCTCAATACAAAACTGTCCATTCACAGATATGACTTTTAGTCAATAAGCAATAATTCATGAACTATCAGAGAAACATATAGATATGAAACTTCATGGGATTATTCTTGACGATATTATCTATCTCATGTCAAGTTTCAGAATTGTTGTCACTCAATCTGCGAGATCGCAGGAGGCCTGAAAGAAGTAATGCTCATAATGAGCTCGAGACTAACTCACCCATAGCTATAGCAGTCTTGCCAGTACCTGGCTGGCCTGCAATAAGGACTGCTCTCCCTGCTATTTTACCTTCCTGTAACAAAAAATAAATAAACAAGAAAAAGGGAAAACATAATTGAGAGTAAGCCTCGACTTTTTGTGCTATGGTTTCAGAATGTACATGTAGCTAGCAATGAACACAAGGAGTCTCTTCGTTGGAAGAGTTGTCTGAATTTGAATGACCGTCATCAAGAGTTGTCTAATACCTCATCGCTTACTGGACAACTCCTGCAACTCTCCTGGCTGCCATCTGGCCAACCATCCTGGCCAACCATCCTATTTCATAGATTTCCAGAGCAGTTTATGAGCTTACAAGAGCAAAAGTAATCTTATTTCTTTCTTTTTTCCTCCTCCTCCTCCTCCTAAGAGACATTCCTTGCTTCAAATGCATCACAAAGCCCTACCTTAATACTTAATCTTAGTGCTTACAAGAGCTACAGTACTCTAACTTGCAGTTTTTTTCTTCAACTTGCTTTCTTGCTTGCCAAATTATCTCACCTTGATCACCTCCAGGATGACTCCTGCAGCTCTCCTAGCTGCCGTTTGTCTGACCATCCCCCGAGAGACATTCTTTGCTTCAAAAACATTACAAAGACCTACCTTAGAGGTATCCAGACCTTATCTTTGTGTTCACTAGTACTCAAACTTACAAATTCTTTTTGAACTTTCTTGCCAAAATATCTAACCTTGATCATCTCCAGGATGACTCCTGCAGCTCTCCTGGCTGCCGTTTGTCTGACCACCATCCCAGAGACATTCCTTGCTTCAAATGCACAACAAAGCCCTACCTCACTACTCAAACTTCTAGTTTCTTTTTCAACTTGCTTTCTTGCTTGCCTAATGATCTCACTTTGATCATCTGCAGGATGACTCCTGCAGCTCTCCTGGCTGCCATTTGTCCGACCATCCCCTGAGAGACATTCTTTGCTTCAAATGCATCACAAACCCCTACCTTAATACTTTATCTTAGTGCTTACAAGAGCTACATCACTCAAACTTGCAGTTTTTTCTTCAACTTTCTTTCTTGCTTGCCTAAGGATCTCACCTTGATCATCTCCAGGATGACTCCTGCAGCTCTCCTGGCTGCAGTTTGTCCAACCATCCCCTGAGAGACATTCCTTGCTTCCAGGGCATCATCTAGACCAAGACCTCTGATGTGGGAATGAGCTCCTATCCGCTCGATCCTCGTCACTTCACGAACCTCCTGGACCTTCTGTGCTGTTGACTGTAAACCAGGAGAAAAGTATTGTTATATTTTTGCTACTATTTACCCAAATGTTTGATGGTAAACTTGGTGTTTTACTACTTTTTAGCAAAAATTATTTGTTTGATTTTCACTTTTCTTTTCACAAGGGCATAGCAGCCTCATGTCATTAGTAAAGGTGCATGACTTATATAGGAGGTTGTACTACCTCTATGGTCAGATACTTTTGTCAAGATTTTTGGTTGCCAATTTGAGAGTCTCCCATTTAGTTTGCCAATTTTCTTTGTTAACATAAATTTGATGCAAAGCGATCACCTCAGTTAAACATGAAAATATTGAAAGTAGATCTTGTCTCATGTTAAATTTCCCTTTTTGACTGTCTACTTATTTTGTTTTCATAACAGTTTTTTTGTAATGACCCACTCACAAATCCAATGGGCTCCTGACCTCAGTGAGGCAACACTTTCCTGGGAAAAACAGCCTTGTTGTTGGTGTAGTTTCTTTTGCCCCTTTATGGAAGACAGTCTCCTAATTAGTCGCTAACTGAACACACGCGCGCGCCGCACCCGACCAGCGGGGTTGTATGTAATTGTATTGGGCTTCAGTTTGCTGTGAATCCTGTGAGAAAGTGCATATCATTTTATAACTCTTTGTTTTCAGGAAAAATACTCCAAAAAAGATAAGAAAATTGACAGGAAACAGGTAACAAACAGATCGACTTTTAAATCATGGCCTTTATTTGCACATTTGATGAATATTTACTTCATTTTGGGTATTTTTTTAGTACGGTATCTCGGATCTCCACGCCAGAATTACGGGTCAAATTTTGGATAGACTTCTGAACTAGCACCAGTTATTTATCAGTAGGGAGGCCAATGCCCAAATCTAACTTTTTAATTACTAATTTGTTTATACTAAAACTAAGATTAAAAGAAAGCATTTACTTTCACTAAGAAAATCCACCCATCTGCCGACTCCATAGGTTCCATCAAATAGGAGATATCCAGCTGGTTTGTAGCCATTTCCTTCTACGCCTTTCCGTACGTAAGAGCCTTGAAACAATTATATTTCATGTTGCAAAGTTACGTTCATAATTAGACAGGCCCGAGGGACAAAGTTCATGATGAAGTTTAAAACTTCGCGCGAAAGTGCAATCACTCAACAGCGGCTAGCCTTGAATCGGTCGCACACGTACACACCTTCTTCTTCTTAGTTGATCCCTCCACCGACACAGGCAAGCCCCGATGCAGGCTGAAGTCCAGCCATCAATGTGCGAACGATTACATCTTCTACTACTACGAGCCGAAGACGATGGTTCAAAAAAGGAAAGAAATATATATAATTCATTGATATTTACCTTAGATGTGTATTCCAATAATTTGATTTCCTCATGAGTATTCCTTATTATCAACGATCGAGAAGTTACGAGGTCCAATTAAAATCCATCTTGCAGCGAACACAATCATAGCGCACATCCATGCATGCAACGTACGTGTACTAATATTTCTCTCACTCTTTCTCTCTCTCTCTCCCTTTCGCTATACGTAACATACACACTCACTAACCATGTATCATACAACACACACCTTCAAATCATGGCTTTCATTTCAATTCTCAATTGGAGTATAGACTGCTCACGTAGACTTTTTTTTTTACTGAAATATCTTTTTTAACACTTCTCATACATTACTGCACGACACTCGTATCTAGTGCTGTGAGAATAAGGTACTAGGGTCTATAAATAAGACTACGCTTTGCGCACGATCTGACCGGAGCTCAGATTATGTCGCAATACCCTTTATTTTTGGCGCGAACAATGACGTCACTGTTCACTGTTTTCCTTCTCATTTTGAGATGGATGTAGCTATAGGGCTCAAACCAACGCAAGATTGACAGAACATCGTACTCTATCTACTTTCGAATGTTCAGTTTGTAAAAATCTGTATTTAAAAAGATATAATCTTTTTTCTTTATATTTTCTAGTTGTTAGAAGTGGCAATTGTGAACATCTGAAATGTTGATCTCTATCAAAAGTTCTTTACTCAAAACGGATCCCATATTTTTAGGGTCTACCTTCTGCCAATGAGAAGGTTTTTAGTGAGCAAACCTCTACGCCCTCTAGGATTTTCTTAGTCGGTGGTGCGAGTGCGTCAAGGTCGTCTGCAACCACAATCATTGGATTAAAAAACGTCAAAATCTGCAAGATTGTCAACAAATGGTGAAAGACTGTTACAGATCCGTGATTATAGGTAGATCTATGTTGTGAAATGTATAATTGTATTTTCTTTTCATATTTTCTTCAATTTTTATTTTTACATCATTTTTTTCCCTTTGCTAATTTTTTGAAGTGGGCGACGAGCGCACAAATCGTAGGTGTAGAAGCCTTACGCCCGGGCATTGGCCTCCCTATTATCAGTTGCAAATTTTGCAACTTGCAATCCTGAATAGAAAATGCTAGAGTCATAATAGACTCTATCGGCTAGCCATTATTCAATACCCTGATTTTTTTCTTAAAATCAACGCCATGCCCATGGGCAGAGCTAATGTCCGGCCATGGTCCCACTCGCAGTCACAAGTCGCAGTAGGCCTACTTGAGGCATGAGGCCGAGTGTGGATACCACACCGTGCACTATCGCCTCGCCAGCTACCGCTGATCCAGCGGGCTGGTTACGCGTCGGCGATACGGTTGTCAAGGCTCACGCACAACATTTAAAAAAAGTAACTTCGATCGATAAGTCTACGGTAAAGTACGAGGATACAGTTCATTTTCACAAATCATTTGTCACCGATCATATCTCTGTCTAGATTTAAGATAGAAATACATCAATGAATGAATCAAATAATGTCATTAAGTTTTATTATCAATTTTAACATTACAATCACAAAAACCACGCGAACTTACCGCTGCCATCTTGATCTGTGATCTGCCCGTAGATGGCGCGCGACGCCAATAAATTGGCTCAAAGCTGAAATGTCCAAAAGGGTCGTCCCCTGAAATTTAGAAACTCGCCGAAAATTGTTTAAAACACTACTATTCATGGGTGTCGATCTGTAATTGATACCTATTGTTCAGGGGGGATGATCTATTCATTCATCTCCCCTGAACAATAGGTATTACGCAAGGATCGACACCCATGCTACTATTTATAAGCACGTAGGACCACGGTATGCAATTGTATTATTATTGTAATACATGACGTTATTAGATTGATGGGGCGTTTTGGATACTCAATACGCTTGTCTCTTCCCCCCCCCCCCCTCTCTCTCTCTCTCTCTCTCTCTCTCCCTCCCTCTTTGACACTTCTCCCAATGTAAGTGCTGATTCAAGGTGATGCAGATTCTCATTGCCCTCTCGTAGACGTAATTTTAGTAATTGAAAAAAATGTAGGTCTTTTTTATATTCTCGGTCATTTAGAGAGCGAGTCAAAGAAGTAACGGAGGACACAGAGAATAACAAATTATAACATGTGGACAGTTTTGGACTCCTGATACCCATCTGACATTTAATCAATTATTTCATGGGGATGACTGAGCACAAGTTAAAAGAAAATATAAACGGATACAATGTTTTACAAGGTTATGGAACCTGTTTCTCAAGAAAACTGTAATACAGTAAAACTGGTAAATTTGTTTAAACTTTGCGGTTCATAAATTATGAGGGGTTGCCCGCAGATTGGGGGGGGGGCGGTGTGGGGGGTGGCTACTTTGCATATAATTATGTTGTGTTTAGAAAGGACATGTAGTTTGGCCTGATGACCGCAGTGTGTCAGTGTTATGTAACGAGGACAAAGTATTTATTAAAAAGTACATTAATTATTATTCTTAATGCATGCCCGAACGAGATATTTAAAAAGTCAAAAACTAGCATGGTGGAGAAATTTTTAAAGGAACGTTTTTTTATGCCAGACTAAAAAAAGGGGGAGGAGGGCACTATCACCAACAGCACCACCACAATAAATTATCAATAATTCATTGAATTCCCCCCCCCCCGTGTCTTTGTGAAATTGTAGTAAAGACACATAACGGCTGATTATTGAGAGAAGGAGGGGGAGAGAGGGAGATCGAGAGAGAGAGAGAGAGAGAGAGAGAGAGAGAGAGAGAGAAATAAGGAAGAGTTAAATGGTTGGAGGAGAGAGAAAGAGAGGGAGACAGAGAGAGAGAGAGAGAGAGTGTGTGTGTGTTTGTGAAGAGAACGAAAGAAAAAGAGAGATGGAGAGAAGGAGGGGAGCGAGATATATATGAAGGAAACGATAAATGGTTGGGGAGAGCTGAGAGAAAAAAGAAAGAAAATAGACAAGCAGTGAGAGAGGGAGATGTAAAGAAAGAGATTATATGAAATGAGGGAGAGAGAGAGAGAGAGAGGAAAAAAAAGTGACATACGATGATATATATACCTACACAGAAGGTTTACTTTTGCCTTTCAATCGAAGGTTTTCTTTTCTCTTTATTTCTACACTTCATTGATTCTCAAAATAACATTTACGATGTTAGAGCGGAGTTATTAGTTTAGTAATTAACGCCCCTCAGTACGCCCCTGCAGCAGAGCGAGTCCATAACTGTTTGTTTTTCTTCTTAAAGATGGGTTTATGACAGATTGATATATTATGATCTAATTTCACACAGCGGGTGGTTTATTTGATGTTCTGAGCAGTCATTTCCGAAGAGCATTTGTAAATTAATTTTAAGAAATGCAGGGGGTGAAGGAAAGCACCCATCCACAACAACTCAAACACGATAAATACTGGAGAAAGGACATGGATTAACACAACGCTGATTCGACAGACAGTCTAACGTTACAGTTGTGATATCCACTCTCGGTAAGTGAAAAAAATGTTTTGTTTTCATCGAAGAAATTCAACGAAAGGATAATAAATTATATATTTGTGTATTTGTATAATTATATAAACTCGCTATATAGATTTGTTTATTTACTTTTTATATAGACCTATGCAGTTTTTCCTTGTTCCTTTTTGTTTACTCATTCAATTTCTATTTAGATAATTGAATTTATCAATCATTTTTGTATATTTATTAATATTAGTTTATTCATTTATTTATGAATTTTTGAAATACCTAATCATTTATTCATTTTATATCTAGTATGTGTGTGTGTGTGTGGGGGGGGGGGATATACATGGGCTTTGAAGATGTGTAAGCAAACCTGGCTTGATATTGCATAGTTTTATGGACCCTTTTTTAAAATGAATGTGGTAGTGAAGTTTGCTTGTTTGGACCCTAAAATTAGGTAACAACAGAATATTGAACTTGGAAAAACATTTATCATGAAAAAAAGGAAAAGAGTATAAGCCTACCTATAACAAGAAATATGTTCGTGTATTTCAAGCTATACTTTCTTACTGCAGACGATGGGCAAGCCTCTCATATTCGAGTCATATTAGGTATCATTAGTCATATTTTCTTTCAGACTCACTAAACGAATTCAAAGATGTCTAAGGCTATGTACCTTGCTCTTGCCGCGGTCCTCATCGTAGCCGCCTTCTCCTTCGAGATGGAAGACGAAGACGACAATGATGTCGCCATGATGAAGAGGATGCCCGAGCTACATGAATACTTGTGGGCCGAGAAAAGGGGGAAGAACATGAAGAAGTACAAGTGTAAGTATTCACTTCAGTCTTTATTAATTATATAGGTTAAAAAACACTACGGAAACATTGAAAGGTACTCTCCTATATTAAAGAGAAAACAGTGCATTTAATTAGTGATCCCTTGTTTAGGAGTGAACATTCATGTATTTTATAGTGCTCTCTGAAAGGAAAAGAATGTGAATTTTAACCCATTGCTTACTGGAACCTGGTGGTCCCTGTGTTAAGCCTATGGGAATAAGATAAATCAGTAGCCAACGGGTTAACTCTACTTTCACTATCGTAGGAGTCACTTCAGTGATCACACGATTTTGGGTTATTTTGGGTGTGCAAAGCATTTCAAGGGTAAAATACAAGGTACACTAAATAATTTCTTACAACGTAAGAAGAACAATAGGGACCATCTTGAGGCTTGACATGTTGATAGTCCCAATAATTTGCAAGTTATAACATAGATACTGTGGCAGAAGGAAAGAAAATAGGCAAAATAAAGATGTTTTTGTATTAATTTAGTCGTTAAAAACAACTGATAAATGATGACAAACTAATGATAAAAAGATAACAAGTATGATTTACGCTTTCTTTTAAATGGATTTAGAAATGGGAATTTTAATTCAACGTTAAGGAAAATTGATAGCAAATTCAACCTTCTCTGAAGTTCATTTACTCGGAACATGCTAATACCTTTTAAACCTTTTGAATTGCCGAAAACATTTACGCATAACCTAATGTGTAATTATAGCACTTAAATGTCTTTCGCACTGGTTCCCTTTGTACTTTCCATCAAATGAAATTATAACTGAGGAAAAAAACAAAAAAACAAATCACTATTGCCCGCAAGCAATGAACGTAGCTGTTGTTGTATAGAACATGTTTTGTGAAAAGGGGGACCCTACAAATCTCGTAGGACGTTTTTTTTGTTTTGTTGGGGGGGGGGGGACACATACATACACAAAAATGATTAATTGTTTCTGGTTTCGTTGTTTTGACAGCCTGTGTGAGTTTCGGACAAGAGTGCACATGCAACAGAAGAAATGGCCAAGTGATATACTGCTCTGGTGAGTTGAAGTTGCGTTCTGGGGCCCGTTTCACAAAGCCTTTTTTCAATGACAATTGACAAAAATCAGTGACAAATCTGCTGATAACCAAGCAGAAGCGAGGATTTCAGTAGCTTATAACAGAATCTGTCATTTGTCACTGATGACAAGTTTTGTAAAACGCCCCCCTGGTCGTTTTCTCTTGGACGAACAGCTCTAGGTGTGTGGGCGGGCACGCACGTCGCTAGGGCGTACGATTAGAGAAAAGTCAAGGCAATTGCAATGTGAAAGAAACTTTGTTGAAGCGATTGAAAAATTGGATCATACTAAGTATGCTTCCAAATCACCCCCCCCCCCCCCCTTTGTAAAAGATTTTAATAGTTCACCTCCAATCTTTAGCCCTTTTGTTTGTGTTCGTACATTCGTGAATTTATTTGGGCATTATTAACCATCACTGTCACAAACAAAATCTATAAATGTCTCCACTTTACTTTGGCGGCATTAGGCCTACAATTCGAGATCCAAAAAAAAAGGGCAATTTTAAAGCCATTAGTGTTTGCCGTAACTTTGACTCGGTCTCTTTTCATATATTTCTTGTTTAAGTTAACTAATGAAGCAGCGATTTTCTGCTAATTAATAATTTTGCGTCAGTGTTTCTAATACAGTGTAGCTTTAAAGAACTACGATCTTGCTAAAAAGATTTTTGAACCGTTAATATATTCGTTTTTCTTTCAAATTCTTACAGGTGCTGGCAATGGCGATAGTATGTAATTTAAATGACGGAAGACCCGGATGCCATACTGTTGCCCCGACCCATGTTCCGACTTCGACTCCAAGACCCCTGCAGGCAGTTGCTTAACTGCGTGTTCATGTGTTTGTCTTTTTATCATTGCGCAGTGAAAGAAAATAGAAATAAATACAGAATAAACTCCTGAATATCATGTACAATTGTTTATGTGTGTTATGTGTTAGAGTGGCTCATGAGGTGTGACGCGTGATGAACTAGTAACGAAATAATTTATGTTGAACCCACTCTTCAAATTGACCGGAATAGAAATATACCTTTTAAGCCTCGTTCAGAAATGCCGCAGTAAATCTCTTTGTGCCTTTTTTTTGTTTCGTTTGATGATTCGTTCAGAAATGCATCGTTAATTATTTTCTCTTTCCCTTTTTGCGTTTGATGACGGTAAAATAATAACCAATACGCTTTTGATTTATGTATCTTGGAGCACAGAGCTACATGTAAGTGAATGCGCGTAGGTTGTTTGTTGCGCCCAGTTGCTTTTTATTTACACGTCTAAAAGAAAAGCCGCGGTTAACCGCTTTATTTTATCTGAACGAGCCATAATGGATAGG